TAATTCAACACACAGACATTTATTTTTGCTTCTCTAATAATAGAACACCAGCCTCATCAACACCAAGAAGAAGTTGGAAGCTGACCTTGTCCAGATCCAAGGTGAAGTGGAGGATTCTGTCCAGGAAGCAAGAAATGCTGAAGAAAAGGCCAAGAAGGCCATCACTGATGTGAGTCATCCAGACGCATTTTTAAGTAGCTGAACACAAAGCATAGTGCATAACGTGTCAGTGCAAAACATCGTACTTTAGGCTATTTCTCTTCCATTTCTGGTGCTCTAGCAGTTGAAAAATTAGACTACAATAGGCTTATATCTAGTGATATAAAATTCAACAACATTTCAGGCTGCCATGATGGCGGAAGAGCTGAAGAAGGAGCAGGACACCAGCTCTCATTTGGAGAGGATGAAGAAGAACCTGGAGGTGACAGTGAAGGACCTGCAGCACCGTCTGGATGAGGCTGAGAATCTGGCCATGAAGGGCGGCAAGAAGCAGCTCCAGAAACTGGAGTCTAGGGTAAAGATGAATTTGATTACTAAATCTCATATAAAATTTTGATTTTAAAATCTTTCCAGTAATAGCATACTGTTCATATTGTTCATATTTCAGGTGCGTGAGCTTGAGGGAGAAGTTGAAGCAGAGCAGAGGAGAGGAGCAGATGCCGTCAAAGGTGTTCGTAAATATGAGAGAAGAGTGAAGGAGCTCACCTATCAGGTCGGCAGCATTTTTATTTCCTATTGATTGGTACAGTTGTCTGATGCAAAGGTGCAAATTGATTAATTTCAATCATGAATTCATGTGCATCACAGACTGAGGAGGACAAGAAGAATGTCATTAGACTTCAGGATCTGGTGGACAAGCTGCAGCTGAAAGTGAAGGCCTACAAGAGACAGGCTGAGGAGGCTGTGAGTCAGAAAAGTGTTTCTGCGTTGTCTCAAATACAGTTGCATGCAGTACACACAGAAACAGAAAAATAGTAAAAACTTAAACATTACCAGGATCAGTAAATCTTTGTATCCTAAGTCTTGATGGATGTTGAATTTCCTCACAGGAGGAGCAGGCCAACACTCACCTGTCCAGGTACAGGAAGGTTCAGCACGAGATGGAAGAAGCTCAGGAGCGTGCTGACATCGCCGAGTCTCAGGTCAACAAGCTGAGAGCAAAAAGTCGGGAAATTGGAAAAGTAAGTTTACATAAAATTCAGCAGCTATTTTGATTTAAATGGATACATGACAACATATTTTTTCTGCATCAGTCCTGCAAATTATTTATTTCTTCTTTCCATTTTCTGTTCATTTTAGGCAAAGGAGGCTGAAGAATAATCTGCAAGCTCTTTGAGGGACACAAATGAGAATCATATAATATGATTTTTCATTGATCTGCTCTCAGTTAATATTGTAGATCTCTAATAAATCAGTTCTGTCGTCAGTCTGCTGCCTTTGAACTTTTCTTTGCATAAACAAAAGTACCACTTTATTCATGGGGGACAAACAAAGTGCATGTTAGGTTTCTTGATACACTTAAGGACTGAAAAAACAACAAGACTCCTTTGTAGTAGTATTAGTAAGAGCAGTCTTTTGTAGTAAATAAACAAACACGCAAACAAACAAACAAACATTATGGTATTGAATTTAGGTGTCCTGTGGCTCACCCAGGGATCTGAATCTACAAATCAAACTCACTCACTTAAACACAATTTGTCATCAATAGCCATGTTCTTTTTTCATGTTATTTGCAATATTTTAATTATTCTAATAATTATTATTAGCATTCACACAGGAAACATTACAGTATGTATGGCAGTCTTTATGGTCTGATGGTTTTGACATTTGAGCCTCTTTTAGATTTTCAAAATGTTCCATTTCAATCATGAGACAGAACCAACAACTACAAGCCTCTGACTTACCAACTAACTGTTGAGCAGAAATTGCAGACAGAGTGATTTCACTTAAATATGGATATGTGTTCAATTGTTAATCATAATTATGAGTTTGGGGGATAATGTAACATTTTGAGAAATAGGCCTATTTGCTCTAATGCTAAGAGTTTGTTACAGGAAAAGTTTGATACCAGTTTTACATTGTATAAAAGGTGTGTAAAAAAAAAAAAGAAGAAGCTACAACTGGTTAGCTTAGCTCAGGTTAGCACGGAGACTGAACCCTGTTGGTCAAAATCCACCTTCCAGCACCTCTAAAGTTTACTTATTAACATGTTATATCTTATTTGTTTAACAGGTATTTAAAAAATTATATAAAAAAATTACATAATTTGCCTGTGCCCGATGCAGTTACTTTCTGGAGTCATATCATCACCATGATGTTGCCAGGCAACCAGCTGAGACTCCAAACTCTCAGCAAGAATGAGAATAACCATTCTTCCTAAAATGTTGAACTGTTGCTCTTACCCAGACCAATTTAATTAATTTAAGTTAATTAAAATTAAAGTAAGATGAAAGTAAGTAAATATTCTTGCTTTCATCTTTATGACAGAATGTTTTCTGGCAGGCTAGTGAATTTAATTCTGTCACATACCTGTACATTGTTTCTCTCACACTCACCACTGGGCATGTCTACCTGTGATGAAGTGTTCACCCTGTACAATAGTGAACATCCAGCACACACTTTAACAATATAATCAGATCCTCATGTCACTAATAACTGTAGCCTAACATATTGAATCAGTAGATGCAACAATTTTATAATCGTATCTCTCGAATCTCAAATTCAAGTCCAGTGGGAGTAAACATAGAGAGTATTTTGTATGTTGCATCACTGCTCATCCTGACAGCAGAGAAGAAAAAATAACCCATAAATCCTTTGGGGTAAAGCAACCAGCAGCTACCAAATGCTTCCTCTTCGGGGAGCTATTTCATTAACATTGTGACAAATGACAGCTGCCACCAGTGAATCAAGTGCACCTGTTTGCTCCTGAATCTGTGGCTACAACTTTAAACTACAATGTTATTGTGAGAGGTCTTTCTTTAAGGCACACACTGGGTACAGTTAATTACTTATAGTTTAATTTTGTATGTTTGTTCTTTTTAGTTCTTATGCATAAATAACACACAGCTAAGTATATTAATGTAGTCCTTTTTCTATGAATAACTCAGAGATTAAATTCCCTCCCAAGTAACTGAATCCTTATAAAGAGAAGTATCGAATGCACAAAACAGAAACCTGCTTTAAAGTCTCAGCATCTGTTTGCCCATTTTATATCACTGTGTCTCAAGTATTTTATCATAAATAATCCCTAAAAGGATCAGCGCTATAAATTGCCTCAAGTATTTTAGCAGTTAATAAAAGTAAACTCACTGAATATTGTTTTACAATCTTGAAAATATATATGCTTTCTCCCACATAATGCAGAAACATTTCATCATATTCATAAGCTACTCAACTTATACATTAAAAAAAGATAAAATAAAACTTATGGACACAACAGCTGAGGCTACAACAGATTCTAGTTCTTCACTTTGATAAATTGCAGTTTAAAACAGTTTTACCCAAAAGGAAGTTATATTTTGCAGCAGACCTACATCAATCTTCATCGTCTCTCCTGAAAGCTTCATCTGTTCAGTGTCTCTGTTGTTCAGCTTATGAGAGACAAGCCTCTGAGATGTGCTGGTTATACCTTACCTCACATGATGGATTAAAATGACAATACGATTCTGAACTGCTTTGCCAAACACTGACAGCCTGATTTCATAGCTAAATCAGACTGTGTATTTCTCTTTAAGCCACATAACAAGGCACTATGCCTGCTGGATAGAAGCTATCACTTAAATCCAAATGAGACTATTGAGACCAGCTGGCCTGCGGGACTGTTGGTGAATCAGAGGAGCCAAAACATCCCACAGCCTCCATCCAGAGATTTTAGTGTCTGTGGAAGTGGCCAGCAACCTATCGTCTTTCCTCTGAAGACCTCGGCTCAACATTTGAAATGTTCACTGACTGACATTATGAGCAAATGTACACGATGAATCATACAAGCTGCTTGACTCTTGGATGTCTTTTCTGGTCCTCGCCAAGCTGCCCTAAACTTGTGTTTTAATCCTCGACAGCTGGCACAGAAACACAGTCTTTCTGCATTAGATAATGGAAGTCCACTGGAGTTATTTAGCAGCTCCAGTTCAGTTGCCTGCATTGTAAACCTTTAATATGGTGCCAGGACACAGACCTGTATTTATTTTTAGACATTTAGAGAAACCTGAGCCAAAATGGAAACAACTTTTCACACTTGTCTGTCTTATGGCTGTGGAGTCCAGAGGGCAACGGTCACTTTTGAACACCATATTTACATTGCTGCGTAACCAAAAACTTCCACTTAAAATATTTGGAAATAAATATATATATAAAATCTGCCATTAACAGATCAGAGAACACAGCAAATAGCAGCAAAATATTTTAATTTAATGCTGAAATCACTTGTTAGAAAATGATTCCCACAGTTTTGACAATCGAGTAATCATTTAAAGAGGCTGTATTTGCTTTTGGGGGTTTTCGGTTTTGAAAAGTGACAAGTCCACGCTAAAGGGAGCTACTGTCTCCCACAGAAATCACTGCCCCTGCTACCTGCCACGCTTCATTTGTATTCAGCCTTTTCTTCCGTTTATATTTGATATCACAGAGAAACGGGGCACCACCGTTGGCTAGGTCAGTGGTTCCCAACCTTTTTCCTGACTGGACCCTTGTCAAACATTTAGTAAACTGATGACCCCTGTTTAAGTGACATATTTTATGGGTATTTCATATTATATTCACAACTGTACAATGAACCCAAATGAACCCTGGGGAAGTTAACCAGCTATTTAATCTAACTTTATTACCAGCAGTATCAAACCAGTTCTCATTGGACTGCCACGCAGGTCAAAATTGGAAAAACCTTTCACTTGGTGAAGTGTTTTTGGCTATAAATGAGAATGACAAAGTGTATTTTAATCGATTGGACTGAAGACTTGATGTGAGTGTGTGAAATCATCAATGCAACAATAACGATTCAGAGCTGAAGTGAAAAATATCAATAGCATTTAATCACCAAAGATATAAACATTTAAATATCCATTTTGTAATGTGACTGACAAAATCTTTACAAAGTTGGCCTTCATCTTCTGCTGACTGCTTCACATCGTCTGTACAAAAATGAGGTGGCATTGGAGACTGGCACAAAGAGAGGAAACTGTCCCGAGTAAACAACAACGTCAGCAAAATGAAAAGCAAAGTTACAGCAAAAACATTAACATTCTCATCTTTTGATACTCAGTAAATAAAAAAAGGACAAAGACATACAGTAGATTATGTTTTTTTTCTGTTTCTGCAATTTTCTTGTAAACTGCTTAGTGTGCCCACGCAAGCTTCAAACACATTCAATTCCTTTCTGTTCAATACAAGTATTATTCACAATACCCAAATAAATAAACAAATAAATAAAATAATACATAAACAAATTAAATAAGCAACACTTAAATCTATTTCATAAACTAAGTTAATTCATAAAGGGGTGTCCCCACACATGCCACTGCCTTGTTTTGTTTGTTATACAGCCTTTAAATGCATAAATAATATCCAGTGTTTTTTAATGTCACTTTTTTCCTAAATAAATGACAAAAGTTTAATCAGGCAGTATGTTGCTCATAACTCTAAACTTCTCTGTGCTTTTACTTGCTGCAAAAGACCTAAATTGCAAACACTGACAGTTATTGTAGGCTTCACTGAAGTCAAACTTTCAGCTTCGTGAGTTTACACACAGCAAAGAGCTCAGAGGCCTCCACATCACCCCAAATATCCACAGAGGGCGCCTCCGTTTCTCCCCACAGGACTGGAGAGCTGGATGTGGACAGGAATGTAAAATATCCATCAGACTATATACACAAATCTGTAAATTGTTTAAAATATCATGCAAATAAATACCGGTAATTTTAAACAAAACTACAACACTGACCTCAACAGTAGTAATATATTGTAGGCTATAAAGAGTTTCACAAAATGTCTTTCCGTCAATGTACAACAATGTTGTTTGAATGATGCAATACGACCTAAAGTTAATACTGCAGGTCTCCCAATAAAAGCTTTTTGTTTTGGTCTGTTTTTTGTTTTTTTTTAATCAGTGTTTTTGCTGAGGTCTCCAAACAGTGTTGAGCTTTAATCTGCTTCTCCGGTCCCCACCATGCTCGGGTACAGCAGAGATGCACAACAGCAGGTAATACTGTACATAAACATTCACTCGTTTCAGTCAGTCCTGATGGAAAAGTACATGTTTCCGACAGGCTTCAAATATAGAATATACAGTGTGCAGATGGGACGGAGTAAATCTATGAAAAATGGACAGTGTCTGTGCTTTGATTCGAGGCTGAACCACAGTGTAGAGATAAACAACACGTAGCAGAAGGGCAGCTTTGACACACATCTGTCCATGAGAAGGCAGGAAGGGAGGCCGGCTGCTTGACACACTTCTGTCGTGCTCTTTCACAACTGCGTGGTGCTCCTTTAAAAAAGGTTTCACAAGTTCATGAAGAGCATCTTTTTTTGTTCCCTGACCGAGAAGTCCATTCAGAGTTGAACCATTGCAACCCTCGAAATTCAAGTGTGTCTTTCACACGGTCTGCAGGATGAACGTCCACACGTCTAAGATCCAAACGTTCCTGCCATCCAGAATGAGTGCAACAAGGCACTGCAAGGGTGGAACACCAGGCAGACGGAGAAAAACAGCATTTTACAAATATTTTGTCAAAAAAGCTTTTTAAAAATATCCACCATTAACTCCTTAATCAGATCAAATGATAAAACAAAAAAGACATCAGGGGCTGATGAATCATTGTGGGAAAATGTTTCCAGGATTTTATCATGCACAACTCTTTACTTTCTTATTCATTCAAATTAGTTTGAATAATTTAAGTCCCCCTCGATTCCAAAATGTGTTTACTCTACTTGGCTGTTTGACCTTCACTGTGCAGAATGATGTATGGGCAGAGTGTGACATTAAAAAAAGTTTTCATATTAATCTGCTGAAGGATGAAAGTTTCACCATGCTTACCTTAAATCTGATTTTAAAACATCTGTAAGAACAGAATTTGTGACATCACAACTGTATGTGATTTGTGTGATGTGAAAACTTAAAAGTGAAGGGGGTCTTTAGAAAAGCATACTAATGAACACATTTTATGTTTTAACATTACATATGCTATAGCCTTGTTTGTAAGACTTTAGCAGAAACAGCTACTGAACACCCTGCTCACTCTTTGAACTGTACCTTACAACTACAGAACTTTATACATAAAATATATGTGACACAATTACACTATTAGTTGATCGACTATTTCGATTATCAATTAACCATTTGCTTGGTCCAGCTTGTGCAGTGTGATGGTTTGATGCTTGAATATTTTTGGGGTTCGTGCAGTTGTTCAGACAAAACAAATCTTTTAAAGATGTCAGTCTGATCTCTGGGAAACTGTGAGAAGCATTTTTCATTATTTTGTTCCCATTTTACACACAAAACAAGTGTCGATTAATTGAGAAAATTATGGCCAGAACAATCGATAATGAAAATAATTTACAGCCCTAATATATGTTGTGTGTATTACTTCTTGTACTATGGGGTCAAGGTTCAACCTGTACGCCTGTATCCACATCTACATCCCTGACATAGACTAAATAAACTATACAAACATTTTAAGTGCAACACTACATGCAGTACTGGGCAGACATTTTAGATGTCATCAGGTATGAGGTATGCATGATAAAAATTTAAATATTCTTCCACAGTGAATCATCACTTTTAAAGAGACTTCAGGGGAATCTCAACAGAGGGTCAAAAAGGATCACAGACTGATAACATATTGATAACACCGAAAGCTGTTCAGAAGCTACATTCCCCATACAGAAGCATACATAAGTGCATAAATTCAGGTTTGACAAATAGTGCTAATACAAGATACAAAAAAGGGACAGAGAGCTTCCCCTCAATCACTAATTACTAACTGATGTAATATGTTTTAAAAACATGTTGGCCACACACACTGACGCCTGTGCGTGTTTTGTGCTGTACGACTACACAGATAACACTGCATGGAAATTACTGGAAATGCATGATACATTGTGGTCATGATAATTAGGACTAGAATAAAGAATTTAATTATGACAGCAGTATTGTCCTTTTTTGGTCTGTTTTAGTCTGGTTTTACACTTCTTATCAACTGGAAGCACTTCAAGATCATACAGAGTCTCTGTGGAAACATTTCAACAAAACAAACCTTGACTTTAACAATGAAACTACACAGACATTTCACCACTGATATGTGTTGTGAAAAGTCACAAAATCTTGCTGGAGGTCTAACATTGGTATCTCTCATCTTATTGGCTTTTCTCACCTGTTGTCCTATACGTCAAAGTGCTCTAAGAAAATATTTTTAGGGGGAAAAAATACATCTAAATTCTGTCTGAAATATGGTTAGATTTAAAGATTTAAAAGACAGGGCGTACTTGAGACGGCAGAGGGAAGTCATTCTTGGTCGTTGTCATGTATGATACACCTTTTAGTCCTGAAGCTGTCTTGGCAAAGGTCAGAGGTGGATTGAAAGACACTGAAGTGAATGTGAGGTTAAGGCCCGGATCTTATATAATGTAAAAACTGCTGTAGGTGCAGGAGCTCCTTTATTGTGCAAATACTTTTTCTAGGACTGGCCATGCAAATGAAAACTGGCGCAGACAATTCATTTTGAATTTCACAAAGCCAACAAAAGCAGAAGTTGCCAGAAGCAGCAGAGTCTGAGAAAACTACAGAAGAGAGTGAAGCTCAACCAGCAGCAGATTCTGTCTGTTTGTTTACATGTTCATGCAGTTAGATTAATGTAAAGATGTCTGTTGTGTAAACGTCTTGGATAGCTTTACACTGCAGTTGTATGAAAACTGTAAATCCATATTAACTATTGAGGTGGGCCTCATCTAATGAACCACAGTAACAATGAAAGATCTAAAAACTCAGAATACTGTCTGTACAAAGTTGTTATATCACTCAGCTGTGTATTTTCAGTGATGGAAAGTAACTAAGTATTTACTCAAGTACTATACTTGGGTACAGTGTTGAGGTTTTTTGTTCTTTACACAAGTAATTCCATTTTATGCTACTTAAAGTAGCTTAAAGTGCTATGGCGCAATGTTTTTGTAAGTAGGTCCCCGTTTTGCAAGCTGGCAGGTGACCAGAGAATGTAGGGCAGAAGAAAACTGTTAGCAAGTAAACATGGATGTACACAAAGCATATACATTTGTTTTTAAATCCTACTTTTTAATGTGTCAGGAAATGCTTTCAACCTGTTTGTTAAACCTCAAGAATACAAGCTGGTTTGGTGGGAAAGACTGATTGTAAACACTTTAATGCTTCTACTGCTACTGTAGTAAATACTGAGAATGATTGTTGTAGATAAAACTACTCAACAGTATACAAAGTAGTGGAAATTATCTTGATAAGCAACAACACTAAAATGCTCCAACATGTACATCAGCAATAATAATCTGATAATATAGTGCATGATATGGTGAGAAAGGGTCCTTTCTGCTGTTAATTTTGATGCTAATACTTCCATTCACTTTTGCTTGTATTTGTACTGTTCGGTATTGCGTCTTTACTTATATAATAAATATCGCTTTGTACCACAAAGCAATTGAATCCAACTGAGTTTTTAGATCTTTTATAATTTCACCACCTTAATCAAACCTATAACTGTAGCTGTCTATTATATATTGGCCTGTTAAAAGTACATCTCAGTTTCCTCCCTGACTTTTTGGTAATCGTTTACATGGCTGAGCCTGTGTGCAGAAATTTTAAACATGCTTGTCCTAGTTTAAGTAGCATGCACACTCAACACATTCTCTTCCTATATTTTGCACTCGAGCCCTGAAACACCAACAAATGCATGAGCAATAAGGCAAAAAACACTAAGAGCTGAGCCATTATTTTTCCCCCAAGCACCAATGCACTGTGGGCCGTTTGTAAATCAAAAAAGAAAAATTTTGCAGTTTCTGTTTGATCTAACCTTCAGTAGATCCGAGCCTAAACCCAAAGAGATGAAAGATGTCAGTTAGAGTGTTTGCAAGTGTCAGAGATGAAAAAGAGGCAGAATAAGCTGAATAAAGAGACTCCTATGGAGGACTGCAGAGCATGACCCCGTCCACACTCTGACGTGTTTTCCTGCAACGAGAATTAATTAAGTTAATTAAAAACAAATCCTCTTTTTCCAGAGCAAATTATTCATCACTTGTACATTAAGAAAATCCTTGTGGTTGTGTTTATACTTCATACATGGAATTTATGCCTGACATTCCTGAGGGACATTTTGAACACAAAAACAATCTTTTGAAAGTAAATAAATTATATTTTGTAGAATCAATGAGCAGACAATCTATTCTATGTTCAATAAATACATTTTCGTTTTTACTATTACAGACAGAAAAACACAATAATCATCTTTCTCACTTTAATCGTTCTCTCAGCTTCTCCGCTCTGTGCACTCTTATGTTTGCCACAATTCCAGCCAACAAGAAGATTAGAGTACGAAATTTATGTTTGGCTGTTTTTGTGTCCAATCCGATTGGATTGAGTTATGCTAAAATGAACAAGTGTGTACAATGTGTCTTCTGGAAGGTGAAGTGAAAAGCTATGGGGGGGGGTTGTGGTTTAAATATGGGGATAGCGTTGCACATTTTCAGACAGTCTCTCCTGGAACACATTAATAGTGTTACCCACTCCATTGTTCACACAAAAAGTGGCATAAATAGCTGTGAATGTCAAGAATGAAAAAAGAGAACTAAAGCGAGAAGTTCAAATTGTTGGTTTTTCGGAAAGTTACAGAAACACAAAGCCCCCACTCTCTATTCCAACCTGATTCCAACATCAGAAAGGTTTTAAACCATCCAACAAGCAGTTTTGTTGAAGCATAATGGATGGCAGCTTTACAAGGAAAGAAGGGACGCACTTGGAAAATAACATAGAAGTAGTTTATACAGTTATGGTTAAATACCTCATTTTATGACCCTTCATAATATTCCAGTTGTAAATTAGTCTGTGCTTTATTAGCTTTGCAAGCTGTCTTGGTAGGTTGTTAACTAACGTCTGCCAGATAAATGGTCCTGTACTTGTATAGCGCTTTTCTAGTCTTCCGACCACTCAAGCGCTTTTACACTACGTGCCACATTCACCCTTGATGGCAAAGTCCATCGAACAGAAACTAACATTCAAACACATTCACATTGCTGCTCCTGATGGGGATTCAGTATCTTGCTCAAGGATACTTCGACATGTGGAACCAGGGGCTGGGGATCGAACCCACAACCTTCCGATTTAGGAACGACCCGCTCTGCCTCTGAGCCACAGCCGCCCGATAAGCAGTAGCTAAGTGAGATGTAACACACTGTTTAGGAAATCATAGCTTTGATTTAGTGGCAATGTTATTGTTTTGTTTTGAAGGAACTACATGAAGGATTAAACTACATTGGCTGTGTAGTTGAAATCAAATTAGCCAACAAGTTTATTTAATACTGTTTATCTGGCAGAGATCAGCTACCAACAGAGATAAAAGTTCATAAAGATTTGTGCACAGAGCTGGGACACAGAGAGAAGTGGATAATAGCAAAAACACAAATAACTTGTTAAAATTAATAATTGTGCTTAGAATTTTTATTTCTGTGCTCAAAATAGCCCGTCACATCAGGGTTGAGGCACAGATATAATGTCATACTTAAAGTGCATCTACTCACTAAGGCACTGTAGTCAAAGCAGGAAGTCGGGCCTTTACGATATCGTGCGTTGCTCAGTACTTCGCATGGATTCTCCTCCTGAACTGTTTGCTTTGAGTTAAGAGAGGTAACAGTGAACGTACCTGCCGTACATTATTGATGAGATTTCCACCTTCCGCACAAATGAAAATGCCACAGAGCTTGAAAAGGATACACTCTGTCCTGACCTGTGTCAATCTCTCTATCTCACATGAGCTGCAGGGAAGCGTCTCAGCGACCACAAAGAGGAGGTTGGTGCTTTCTATCCGTTTCGCATGGAACAGCCTATTGGAGACAGGGATGGATAAATAGCCAGCTTCGTACAGTGTTCAGTACAGGTATGAGAGCACAAACACGCTGCAAACACATCCAGAAAAACCCACCGTGAGCAGTTTCCACAGTCCTGCAGCACGTTATAGGAGTTGGTGGTGTTTGTAAAGTAGAACTGGCTTTGGATGGTCACACAGCTGCTTTCCCTCGTCTCGAAACCTTCAACCAGGACATCATCTAAAACACACACGTCCAAATTTAGCCTTTTTAAAGTAATGTTAATAACATTCTTAACACCCATTTTCAGACTAATTTGGTTTAAATTGATTTTAACCCAGATTTTATGAGGACATTCAACCAAATGATGTTTCCTGGTTCTCCGGTGCAAGAACACATAACGAATCATAACAAACTAAATCCCCTTTTAATGAGGTCAGAACAATGAAAATGAGCTGATTGTTAGATTTGACTTACTTTTTTCATCTAATTTGTATAATTTTTAACATAAAACACAAGGTAATGAGCCTTTCTGAATCCATTAATTTACGCAGATGTTTATGTGCACACACAAAGATTGTGTTAAGATGCATTAATCTACCTTGGTAGAGCCAGCTGTTGTACGCCAGTCCATACAGTAGCTGCTGGGTCACAGACCTATAAAGGTGTTCACATTGCACTTTGTTAAAGAATGAAATACAATCTGTGAACATCAATAAATGAGAGTACACACATGTCACAGCTACAGTAACTTTGAGCTGAAAATAACCAAGCGTCAGCTGCCTAGCATGAAAAAAAGGCCCTCCTGGTTTAATGAACAGAAGTCTGAAAGCAGTTAAGATTGTTTTAAAGGGCGCCTCACATGCTCTTGGTGTCATCTGATTTGCAGTAAACAAAGTCTCACCATGCCACTGTGGATGTCCACCAGGCCAAGCTGAGGATGTCAGCGATGGACGGCTGCAGAAACAGAGATAAGTTACAGACTTTCCATCATATTAAACCAAGTAATAAAGATCTCCCAGAATGAAAATCCTGCAGGTGGTCTCTTACTACAAAGATGCCCCTGGGTGCTGCACCGGTGTGGCTGCTGCTGATTGGTTCACATGCAGACTGGTAGTGGAAAGACTGACGGCGAGTGAAGATTGAGTTGTTGTAGAGTGCGTGCATCAGGTAAGGGTCCACATCACCAAAGAAAAGACCAATCTGTGATAGAAAGGACAGACACCCAATAGAGAGGAAAACAAAGTGCATCAGGGAAACAGCCCCACAGCCCTGCAGTGACAACTGAACTGGAGAATAAACGGAGGGAAATTGCGATGACTTAAGCTAAATTTAGTTTAGTTGAATACTGTAATGATCTTGTACCAAAAACTATTTTTGAAACAAGCAAACAAACAAAATCTGATGTAAAACATGCAATAAAAATAACACCATTAACAACAACTATGTTGATGGAAAGCTCAGAAACTAATTCACATCTGCTTACAGATATTTTTATACCTTTAGGTTTAAAACATACAAAACATAGTGAATAAGTGCTGTACTTTGTTCTAAAAGTAGAAAAGTAGACAGTAGTTATATATTGTATATGAGTAAGCATGTTACCACACAAAGACGTACCTTTTTCCAGTGATCTCTCTGATTGGACATCACCAGGAAGCCACCATCGTCAATGAGATAGCAGAGGAGGTCCTACAGACAACACGGCACAGTTTACATCAAGTGAGCTACACAGCAGCAGCTTTTAACTCTTTACTACATCACTGAACGGCAGGAGGGCAAAGACTGTCTCAAGATACAGGCGGATCTTATAGGAGGAGACAGTAGACTGTAAAAACCTGCAGGCATATGGCAATGGATATTTTCTATACAAAAAGATAATTCACTGCCAAAAAAACATATGAAACAGGATTGATTGTTCCTTTTTCTTCTGTTATTTTCAAGAAAATAAGACTTAAGGGCTCAATATCTGTCCAAACTACTGGTTAATTACTCTTAATCTTAACCATACACAACAGGGAGCAGTGTGGATTTAGTTAATTACACTGGAAATGTCAGTTCAGTGTTCCTCTTACCAGGGGGTTGGCTGACTGAAAGAGAGACAAGTAGCAAGAACAGGTCTGTCCTCATTTATGAATTGTTTCAAGTGAACACGTTAAGAACAGATTTAACCTGATGACAGTATCTGGCTACAGTAGCAGGTCTGCTACAGTCTACTGGTTGTGGGTGGCAGTAGCTCAGTGTGTAGGGACTTGGCTCCTGTGCACTGCCAAGGTGCCCCTGAGCAAGGCAACCTAACCCCAAGCCTGCCCAGCCTGGCACTGTTAACATTGCAGCCCCATCACTCCACCATCTCTCTCCCTGTTTGCATGTCTACAAGTGCATGAAAGTGTGTATTTCAGCCTGTGTGTGTGTGTATAAAAAAAGAGTGAAAAGAACAATTTCCCCAAGGGGATTAATAAAGTATATCTTCTTCTTCTTCTTGTGTTAATGTGAGAATGAAAACACAAAATGTTCTTACGTCGGTGTTGACTTCACAGTCCATCTCACAACTTCTGGATGGTCCACACTGTTTGACAAAATGCGCACCGAGACAATAATGTCACTTTTGTTACAGTAAATGCAGTCTAATTAAGTGATTATTAGTAATTAGTGCCACTGTGCTGTACCTTGTGTGAGCCCTGCCGACTGTCTGACACGTTGCTAGCCAGGATCTTAAACTTGTCCACCCACGCTTCCAAGTCCAGCTTCACTCCAACCACTGAGTGACAAGATCCACAGGATCAGGGCAAAGAGAGGAAGAGGAGGGTGAGAAACAGCATTTTGGTAAGAAGAGAGTACAAAACAGGATACCACATTACGTTTGCAGCATAAAAGTATTGTTCTTACCTGAAGGTTTGAGCAGTTTGCCTCCTAAATTAACCTCAACAGCTGAACTAACCAGAATTCCAATGGTGCCATTTTCTGCTGCTGCAGGGTCGTCCAACGCTGAAACAAAATGTGATTAAAAAAAACTCATCTGAAGACTGAACTGATGTCTCCCATGTATGAACGCTGAATTCATCATTTTTAATTTATATTTAACTTAATTCAATTATTTTTCCCACATACTCATCCCAAGGTCAAACTTAACTTTGACTTTAAAAATGGTAGCCAACATTTACAGTTATGTCTAATTTGATGAAGTAAAGTTAAACCTGAAATAATGTTTGGGGTTTTTTTGTTCGTGTTTTTTGTTTTTTGGCCCATTTGGGGGCAGCAGGAACAAGCTGTGAACACAACATTGACCTATCATCACCTTTAAAGCTGATAATTTATGTGAACTATGTTAGCAAGCATTTGCTTCATTACACATCCACATTCACATTCACTGATTACCAATATGGAGGCCAGTGTAGTGCATTTTTGAGCTGGAATGAAAATAGACCTTTTTTATGTGGACTGTGCCCCGATTCTGCACCAATATGACTCTGTAAGGGTACTCAGAAATCTGCTTTCTTAAAGAAATAACTTTATTAAAGAATATTTAAGTTAAATATTCTTTAAAATGTTAAATAATTGAACACATACATTGTCAACCAATTCTAGTTGACACTGCTGAGAGCATATTCTTCTCTCTTACTTAGTGCTATGATACGGATATGTCTGCGACAGGCCAATATCGGCTGACAATATATCCACTGTGGGCTTTAGTTTTGGTCTCCACCAACTCCTGAGGGAAATATTTGTCTCTTTAGCTTCTAAATGTTCCACCGTGTTACTCACAGGATCTCGATGGAGCTCTGAACATGTAACCTTTGTTGTCGAGGCTCCGTCTGTAGTAATTGGAATTGAAGGGTTCAGGATCCTCATCCCATAAGTCAGCAGCCCTGTACAAACATCATTTAAATTTTTCAGTAAACAGACAGAACACATGTGAGATTACTAATATATTTCTCTGTGTTAGTAAGCTCATTGATCATACTCACATGTTAGGAAAAACACGTGTTATTCCTCCATCAGTGGACGCAAATACAGCCAGGAAGCCATACCTGTAATAATTCGTTTTTTTTATACCATCAAAGCAGATTGTTGTTCATTCACACAGCGTGGTGGATGGTGCGTGAGAATACTGTGTAAAGCAACAACTGGTCGACTCACGAATTCAAGTCTTTGTTCTTCCAAACACGAGAGGCCAGCTGCCCGATAATCCTAGAATCCAAAATCAGGTTGTGGATGAGGCCTTGGTCACCTGAGACACAAAACAAGTATATTATCTCACCTGTGTGTCTGCAGCGGTGCCAGATATTGTAAACTATCAAATGCTGTTAACGCACTCACACTCATCAGATTCTGGGGAAATGTCCAGCATGAGTGAGAGGAAGTTCTGCAGAAACTGGGTGTTGTTGTCGGACAGATGCAGACGTTTGCAGTATTCCCTGAGAAAGACAGAGGACGGATGTATTACTAGCAGATAAAGAAAGAGTGAAATCAAGAGCGCAAAGAGAGATATGGTGGTCACCTTGGAGCCAGAAACACATGACCTGAGGATTCAAAGGAGCTGGGCAGCAACGACTGCATATCTGTAACACAGACACAGAGGGTGTTTTATTTATCTCATCTTTGTGTTTAATCTTAATAAAACAGAATCTTGAAAGCTCTGCCTCTCTATACTCACACTGGAGCTGTAGCATCACATCACTCAGGTCTGCCTGGATGTAGTAGTCATTGTAGGGGGGTAATACCAGACCAAGACTACAGGTGACAGCATCCCAACAAGAAGAAATTAATGAATAAGGAGATAGAGGACGTAGGGTCTCAGAGTGAATCGATCTGTGCATGTAGTCTTCATCGTGACACAGCTGTTTGGTTATTATTTGTAACTGATGACATTGTAACTGCTCACCTGTAATCTGTACCGTTGATAGGAGTCCATGTGTAGCCCCGGTACACCTCATCGATGTATTGCTACAGAAAAGGAGACATTTGAGTACATTTCAGTCAGCTAAAGTATGCAGGCTACAATTGTTTTTACTTCATGCCATGACTGCGATTTTTTACAACCTGGGCCTTAATGTTGTTAGTTAATGTTAGTTAGTTTGTTTGTTTGTTAGTAAAATAAGCTTCAGAACACTTATCTGTGATAATGATGATCTAAAATTCTATATATGTGTTATCAGTCTTTTAATAAAGGGGCAAACACTTCCAATTTAATAACCTAAAGGTATTCATATTTTCTGACAATGTTACGGTTTTCTTACACCGATATTTAATGTAAAAACCGAAAGAAAATAGAACAATATTTTCAACTATATTTAGTAGAAAGAACCGTAACTAAATGGACCTATAGTCTGTCCATTTATTAGCAGTGTAATCTACATGTATAATGTGTATTTACTGTGATGTTGTTGGTCTGTTCTGAACCTAAACCTGAAAAATGATATGATTAAAAAAAATAAGCCTAAATGAGCCTTTAGTTATCTATACCACTTATTTGGAAATAAACGCACAGTGAAAGTTGAATGTAGGTACTTTCTGTTTAAGTCTGCAGACTGATGGCCTCATGAGCTTCATGCTGGTTCTCATCTTTACCTACAGCATGCTGCACATCACTGTCATAGTCTGATAAATAAGACAAAATCGTTTTCTAGGACTTGGATTTAAAATAATGGCTAAACATAGAGTTGCAGTTATGGGTAGATTGGGACAAAGTTGACTTAGCAAGTAGCTCTACATAAATATTTCAAGTAAAAAAAGATGTAAACTTTTTTTGAGACTTAGGTTGTACATAATGTTCTTTAAGCATATTCATTGTACCCCAGATTAAATCTGATCATTAAACACGTGTTAGTAAACTCGAAATAATAGCTACAATGAGACTCAGAAAGATAATTTACTTACCTCATCAATCGACTTGATAAGAGTTTTGACCTGCATTTCACCTGGTTTTCCATCAATCATTTGCCGCCGGATCTAGAAAACATAAAGCAGTTTTATTCACAAACATGTTACAAAAGCGTGTTATGTGGGCCTTTGGTTACCTGCACAGAACACTGCAGACTGGTAGGCAGATTGTCCGGAGGCAGTTGATGTTGTTCACTGGCACGGAAGTAACTTTTAACATGAGCTTAACAACGGCAAGGAACAGAAAATGCCTGAAAACAGAAACTTTTCAGTTCCACTTGGCACAAAGTGCTCACCTCTTCTTTATTGCTATCCTCCACCTCTGCATCCAGGAAGTCCAGTGTCACAGGCTCAGGGAGGTTCACAAGCTGAGAGGAGTCGAGTGAGAAAAATACATTCACACTATCATCAAGTGCAGAACAGCTATATTAGCATCATAATGACCTCAGCTATATATAAACTATCAGAATCTGAAACCCAAACTTTTGTTAGGGACCTGAATTCATATCTATATGCCTCCAACCCTCCCTGTTACCGGCAGTGAAATCAGACTTTTGGTAGGTTAAATATAATAGATTACACACATATATATATATATATATCACCTTTGGCTGAAGATTAGGGTGAAGGAGAAGATATCCATTTGGATCAATGGCAAATATGTATCCATTGGCTCCAAGCTGTTTAGGAAATAGAAAAACAAAGAATAGCAGTGATGTGTCAGTATGTTCAGTCCATCACAAGGACAAAGATGTGAAAAATGTGACTAATAATGGTGCTAATGTGATGTACATACATTGTACCGTGGTGTTAGTCGCTTTATCTCGTCCAGATGCACGTCGACTCCCATGACACCCAATATCAGCTGATTCTGTTCAGACAAATGCAACAATACTTAAAGCCAGTTAAAGGAATTGTTTGGAAGATTATTCTCTTTCTTGCTAAAGGTCAAATGAGATACTGCTCTCATGTCTGTCCGGTAAATATGTAGCTGGTGCCAGCAACAAGTTAGCTTAGCACCAAGAAGTCATTGCAAAACCAAAGTCTCAGCACAGAAGCAAATAACCATATTTCTCAAAATGTTAAACTATTCCTATAATGAGGGTACTCATTTATTATTTTACATTATATAACAGAGATAAATTCTGCCTTTGAAAGGCTGTAAAACAAAAAGAGAAAGTGACTATAATCTGCAACATGCAAACATAATAACACTTAACCTTTCATATAATTACCAGTTTTTTTTACCTGTGAGTTTCCATCCATGGTGAGATTAAATACAGGCAAAGTCCCAGTTACTACCATGCCAAGACCCTACAGAGTCCAAAGACAAGGTTCCCAATCAATACAGTAAATTATGAGCCGTGTGTATCATGTATGTTTGATGTATTTACTATATTTGATCACATACGGCCAGCAGGGTCATGCAGTCTCACCAAAGCATCCTGATACACATTGGTCCACTGAACCTGCTTGGCATCGCTGCCTGCCAGGACCATGGGGCGTCCCAGCACGTCCAGGTACTCCTGACAAAACAAAAGAGATGAGTGACCGGCCGCAGCTTCAAAACCACCAACATCAGGCCACAGGAAGAATGGTTGTGCAAACAAATGGATGTAGATGTTTCGACAGAGTGAGTGAGCGCCACAAGGAGAATTAGAAACGGGGAATGGGGATCAGCTGTGTCAGAGGCACTAGACAAACCCACCTGGGTGTTAATCCTTATAGCACAGATGGAACGGATCTCAAAATAGTAACCTGGCAAGCGACAGAGAAAAAAGACAAACAGGGAGAGAGGGAGAGGGAGAGGGAGAGAGAGAGAGAGAGAGAGAGAGAGAGAGAGAGAGAGGGGGAGGGAGAGCATGTGTGAGAGATGCTATCAGAAAAAAAAACACAGGAGTGGTGCTCATAAATATTCCACATTTTACTAGATGTTACTAGACCAGTGACTCAGCCACTTAACTCCCACAGATAGGAAGCTTAAAGAGGAACACGACTGAGCTTAAAAACTGAGGTATCGGTATTTGTATTTGCACAGTTCAGTCAAGATCATTAAATCAGCTGTCCAACGTGAAAGGTCCCACAGAACCTGAGACCCAATTTCTTATCAGAATCTGCTTCATAGAAAACAATCTTTTTTAAATATAAGATCTCGTTTACCAGTTTTCCAAGCTGCTATCATTATATTTTACTGCAACCAATAATTATATTATTATCAATTCATCTGCTGAGTGTTCTCTTATTAATCTGTAAATTATTAGGTTTAATTTATGCAATACAATGTCAGAGAATATTGTCTTCAAATGTCTTGTTCTGTCCAACCGACAGTCCGAAACCTAAAGATATTCAGTATTTAGTCATGTATGCTGGAACTTGTTAATGTTTTGCATTTTTGTTTGTTAGTAATGAATTCAACAATTCATCAATTATCAAAATCCTTAGATTATAATAGATTATATGTTGATAGACTAATGGATGAATCAGCTAATTGTTACAGCTCTACAATGCAATCCAATGACTATTTATATGTATACTAGAGAAATGTTAAAATAACTCAAATAACGTAGGCTGTAATCTCTCATGGTCAATAAGACAAATTGTTTGAAAAACATATTTATAATCCACAGACCACATGTGCAATCTCCAGCTATAAAGTTCACTTTACTGGTGATATTGATCTGGGTCATCCTGATGTCTCTTTGTTAAGTAAAAATATAATTTGATGGACATAATCAGATGACATAAAAGGGCATTCCCCTCTCAGATACAACTCTCTCTCAGCTTAAATCCAACCTGTCGTGTCAGAATAACAACAGAATCTGTACAAAATAGAAACCAGCTCCGTGTGAACAAAAGACAACTCTTGTGCACAAGTTACACGAGTACCATTTAGTCACTGTCCCTGCACGCACGAGCAAAAAGCATCCTCGGGAACATGAGTTCTCCCGAAAAGATCAATGTCACAGAGCCCTGTGAGAACTACCGCTGGTCTGCTTACTGATCTGAGAGGCAGGCTCATTAGTAGGGCCAGTGCACTGTACTGTACATGCTGAGCTCAGTGATTTATTTATTTGTTATTTGTCTGGGTATTGATTAATAAATATACAGACTTTTAAAGGATCGACTGAGTGGGCCTGGTATAGCAATGAATTATTTGTTAAGCTAAAAATACATGTGCTTTACTGGTGATGCTTTACAGTCCAATTTATACAACTGATCTTGTCAGGGCATAAAGTTTATTTTTTGGAATTGTAACTGAGCTACATAACTTCTGAAAACCTTCTATAGTATCAATATTGTATATGGGGATATATGGGGTAAAACTCAACTACTTAACCAAAAAAAAGTAAAAAAGTAGCAGTTGTAATTTGATTAAGAAAAAATATACACCCACATATTTTAATAAGGAAAATTTAAAATTTTCCAAAGCGAAATAAGATTATAAATTTGTTTTATACTGATCTTTAGTGAATTCAAACACAACAAAAAGTAAGAGTTTATGAAAACTAGTTAGAAAGTGAGTTGAAATAGTAATAATAGTAAAAGTAATAATATGTAAAAGTAATGAATAAACTGGTGAAACTGTCAACTTAAAGTAAAAGATAAATGGTTGAAACGCCCAGTTTCTACCACTCCAAGCAAAACAAATACTTGACCGAATATTCAAATGTATAAAAAAAAGGGTAATTAATAATATAACAGTTTTACATAATTAATAGTTTTAAATAAATAGTGGTACAGGTGAAGGGATGCTTCATCTGACAGGGCTGTGGGGGTACGTCTCGGCTCCACAGTATGTGATATAGGGAATAAAATAAAATGAATGAATCACATAGAAAATTCAGCTCACCTTTATTGGTGCATGCAATCCACTGTAAAGGTGTGACATCATAGTTGTGTTGACCCACAGAAAAGGTGAAAACTCGAACCTTCGGAGGAACAAATGAAACACCAGTTTTCAGAGGGTGATTAAGACACAGCACCCTTATAAAATGCTGGATGTGACTGAGAGGTGTCTGTTATAGTGTGAGGATCAGAACAAACCAACCGTTTTGTTGGGCCAGTTGTATTGCATGAAGACATCCTGAGCTCTGTCCTCTCCTCCATCGGTAAATAGCATGATTATTTTATTGCAGTTGGCCCGAGGGACATTTGTCTTCTGGAAAATACATTTAAAAAGGGAGATGAATGAGAATGAACAGTAGTTTTGGTCAATACAGCAAAACACTGTGTGTAGACGCTAGTATTGACACGATGTAAATCAATACGTCATTTACATTTAACAGCTGGTTGAAGGCAAAATGAAATCCAGACTTGTAGTCAGTGGTGCCTTTAGCCTGCATTTGCTGCACTGCATCCTTGAAGATCTTTTTGTTGCGTACATTAGCCTGGACGAGATGTTTGAAGCAGGGAACCACAGCCTCGGCCTTCTCGTTAAACTAAAACACAGCAGGAGTCACAGTTTGGGCTTAAATGTGTAGAGACTGAAATTAAGTGAAACAAGTACAACAAAGCCAAGATAGACAGATGTGAAATAATGGAGAACCAGTCAGTAAGTGCTAGATGCTAACCCTGGCCACGTTGACGTAGTCATCATCAGACAAAGTGTCCAGCATTTCCATTACTGACGCTTTGATCAGTTTCAGGGTGAGTCCACTGACACTGCCGCTCCTGAGGAAACACACAAGTATCATCTGAGTCACAAGTTCAAAGACATACACAGGGATATAAGCACACACAATCACAAAGGTTTTTATATAGAGGTTTGCAAAAGGATTCAGCAGCACGTTTCAGCTAAGCATTTACTAGAACTGAAGGTGCACAGTACATGACTCCATCTGCAGTGGATATGAATAAAGTACTGCTAAATAAGACCTAATGTCTGTGCTGTTTAAGACTCCTTTGGTCAAATAACTTATGAGGAATTATGAGTTTTTGTTGGTAAACTTTTAATCTACTCTGATATGGTTGCTTAAACTGATTTTTAAAAATCCATTAGGTCTATTTCAGTATAATTAACTGCTTACATTACAATGCACGCTCTCTCTCCCTCTGACTTTCCAGACTTTAGTCTTAAGTAGTGCTGAAAACTTTAAACATGCTTCCTCCAAATGTTCAATCATAGATGTAATTTCCCCTGCCGCAGTGGTTAATCAGCAGTGATAAATCCTTTTTAGCGGCTATTTGTTCGCATTTCCATTTCCTCCTCCCGAAGAGGAATGCACTAATGTACACTTTACATTAACCCAAACACAATTTTCAGCAGTGCTGCTGAAACTGCAAGACAAAAAAAACTTAATTTAACCCCAGTGAATAGATGGACAAACGCTATTTAGTCCCTAAATACTTTCTGAATAAATAAAGAGCCTATGAATTCCTGAGTTTTGGCTTATAGTTTATTTAGCAGTATTTCTTACATATTACTTATAATACAAAACAACACATGGGGTTTCTTTTTCATTACTCGTTGTTTTCCTGTTTGAACTTGAATACACGGCTGCCTCTCTGACAACTTCGATGTATGTAAACAAACGTTTCATGTTGATGAAAGGTCATTCATGAGGGCTACTCTCCTGTTTTCCTCATTCAACTCAATAATAGGATTAACCTCGCAGAGAGTGCCAATGAACGGTCCATTATCACCTCAGTGAATTGCAACCATGGGGACAGTGCAGTGTCCCAGCAGGCTGCGGTACTCGACCATAACTGAGGCTGAATACACTCAGCAAAACACACTATACTATCTGTTGCCATAGAAACAGGAAACAAAATTCGGTCGGATCACGTTGAAGCCTTAAGCAACAGTTTGACATTTTGGGATAAATGGTTTCTGGTGAAGAGTTAGATGCACAACACAGCATAAAGACCTTAAACAGGGGGAAACAGCTAGCCTGGCTGTCTCCAATGGTAACAAAATCCACTGACTAAGTCTTCTAAAGCTCAACATTTGACACGTCTTTTGTTTAATCCATACAAAAACAACTGTAAGAACACAAATTTGCTGTTTTAAGGGGATTATGTGCTAAACTATCTTGGCTGAGAGCAGTAACTTCCTGGAGACTCCACTGTCTCCAGGCAACTGCCGCCTGTTCCTAGACTTTGTGCTAAGCTAGGCTAACCAGCTGCCTCTCCTGGCTGTTGCCTTATATTTAACAGACAGACAGAAGAGGGGTATCAATCTCCTCAACGGTCTCTCTGCTGGGAAGCAAATAATTGTATAAGTGTATATCCCAAAATGTCAGATTATTCCTTTAAATAGTAAAGGGTCTTCATGTCTTCATGCACGTTCTGCTGTTTCTCCAGTTATAAACCTCAAAACAACATCTTGTACGAGGCATTCAGACTTTGCTCTTGTGTCTGAATAATTTCTAACTTAACCTTTATGCCGTTACACATGATAAGCAATAAGAGCTGCGCTCTCAGCTTGTTTCAGTGCAGAGTCAGTGCCAGGTGCGCTGTTTTTCTACTACAAAACAACTTCAGTCTAGCTTCTTTCATCTAGTTTTGCTGGCCTATGGGACCAGACGGCCGAAGAAGCTGCTCACTTATGTGAAATAACACCATTGACAGTCTCTTCAGTTCACTCGCGCGAGAGAGACAGAAGTGCAAGAAAGGCTGTGGAAAACTTCTCAGATGGATTTCAACACCACTTAATTATTTAAAACTGCAAGAGAAATGAAAGTTTTGTGTTTTTTTTCAATTCACAAGGGCACAGCGAGAAGTAGAAGCAGCACGCATTTCTGTTTTAACAGTATACTTACGCTACATTCACATGTAAGCCAATAACTAAACCCAAGAAAATTACAACTCAAACTATTTGAAACATCATTAAATACTTACACATCAACAAGAATGACCATATCTTTGGGGGATGAGGCTCCCTGGATGTACCTGTGACAAAGAAAAGGAGTGGATGCAAAACACTGTAAATCTACTGCACCTGTGATAGGCCAACATGAAAAGATGCTTTAAGCAGAATACTGTACCACGGCCTCCTCCTGACGTCATACAAGTCGATTTTATCAGGGGCTTTCCAAGGTGTGGCTGAAAAAAAAGATGTTTCACTCATACTATTCAATGTATTTAATATTCAACATGAGGTTAGGAAGCACAGGAACGGTTGTTAAAATCCTACCTGGGTAGTAGCGAGTGACTCCCGTCGCACTCCCAAACGCTTGCCACAGCAATGATGGATCCTCCTGACTGTTCTCCATGAACACTTTCTCCAGCGCCTGCGTCCAGTTCAACTCATTTAGAATGACTGGAGCTGATGGGGGAAAGAGTAAAACTTCTTAGATATGCTCCTGTAAATGTGTAAAATAAATCTGATCATTAGAGCACATGACATCTTTCCACAGTGCTGTGTAAAAAAAACAATAAAATAAGAAGGTCACTTGCCTCCTTTATAAATATCTGTGGGAATCTGAACAGCTGTGTACGAATAGTTGACATTATTCTTGAAGTTTGGATCATACACAAACTCCAGCTTGATGTGCGAAGGATTTTCCACCTCTCCTTCTCCATCCATGGAATACTATGAGAACATGAGAATATATCTATTTATTTCAATCATCGCCAAGTAATCGTCCTACTGTCGAATGGCCTCAGTGAACAAAAACAAAACAGACAAATCAGTTTATTGGTCCTTTACTCACATAATCCAGCTCTGCCTTTGAGTCATAATAAGCCATGTCCAGCTCCTAGAAGAAAACAGATGCATATATAACACATGGAGAGTACTTAATTAGGGTATTTTAATGAATTATAGTTAATGTATTAAACTGTAATAAACTGTATCGATCTCCAAAACCAAACTTTTTTGAACTTTTATTCATTTACCTCCCAAATTGTCTTATTAGTTTTAAATATGTTCACTGACAGTGAGATAGACCACCACGGTTCATGTGTAAATGTCACATAAATGAGGGGACAGATATTGTTAATCTATCCATTTTGTGTAATTCATTAATCTATTGTTTCATCTCTAAAATGGCAACAATGGTGACAAATGCCCATTGAAGTGAAAGAAGCAAATCCTTCCATTTGTGAAGCTGTAAGCACCAAATGTTTGCTATTGTTTTCTGCTCAGTACTGTCACATTATGAATCAGTAGACAGGCTGTCAGGCTTGGGTAGAGCATCGCCATCTGTTACTCTAAGTTTTTGAAGAGACCTAACATACTTCAGAATAAGCGTGACATCTACTCGGCGGCTGCTATGTGACTATTTTTGGCCTGTTTTGATTACCAAATCTTGTCTCCAAAGAGGGCTTTCACCTATATTACAATTTAGCTAAATATAACAAGTCTCTCTCTGTCTGCTGTTTGTCTTCTTGCTGTTAGTAATACAGAGCTCCCGTCCTCACAGGAGTAAAGCTCTGAGTCCTGCCATTGTCAGCCAGTGACATTGCTCAGTCCTCCATGCTAACTTCTCCTAAGAGCTCTGCTTCTTTAGATCTGACCCTGAACAGCAGTGTTTTAATCCTCTGTTTTATACATAATAAAATATGTATTTATTAAAATGTTTAGGGGTGTTCTTGGCGTCAGGATTTCACGATTCTCGATTCAAAACCATTTTTGATTCATTAAAAATAAAAGGGGGCAATATGACGCTTTTCTCCAGTGCATTGTGGGCCATACCACTGACACCTGTCATTTGCCCACTGAGCTGCAAATGAAACGTAACTGACAGTTCAGATAACTGGTCTTGATGAGCTAATTAAAGTAAATTAAAGATAATTATTGCATCATTAAATCCAAAATGTGCCCAAACACTACTACAGGATTACTCTAGTATGCATGCGCCATATACCGTCCAGGTGCTACGCTGTGCCCTCGTGGTTGAGTTATGTCTTTTTTGTTCAGTGAACAGAAATGTATTAAGTAACGTTAAATCGTCAAAACTTTTTGCCATTCGTGAACTGATTCAGAATTGTATAAGATAAAAATTCCTGTCACCCTCCCCTGAAAACATACCTATGAATATTATATTCAATTTCTGCAAATAGTTCCTCCTAAATGTTACACACTGGACCTTTAAAGCAATAGTTTGACTTCTATTTCCTTTGTTTGGCATTTTACTTTATTTGGATAGTGTCAGTAGAGAGTGACAGGAAGGGTGGGATGAGAGAGGGAAAGACATGCAGCAGAGGGTCTGTGGGCCGGATTCCAACCCGGGCCATCAGTTAGTCGACAAAATCAATACAAAAACCAAAGTGTAAAAACGACAATGGTTTTATTTTGGGTTACAAAACTATTTATTGCCTAATGCAGGGATTTTCTGGAGATATAACATGCTAATCTGGGAGCTTTAGAGGTAAAAAGAATTTGTTGCCTTTGGACACAGACAGGCTAGCTGTTTCCAGTCTTATATACGTAGACTAATGTAGAATTAGTTTATTGAGATTGAGGTTGACAGCTATCAGGTCCATTTGTTTTGCAGAGAACGGGAGAGAAGAAGCAATAGGAATACCGATACTTCAAAGAGTCATTTTTGAATCTCTGCAACTGATTTCCATCACACTGATACTGGAATACAGTGGCAATACAGTTAAAGGGTAGGAAATCAGTCTAAATGCTTATGGCATGCTTTAGAAAACATCTGACGCTGTTGGAAAGTCGAGACCATTTTCTATGAATGGGCTAAAACATGCAAAAATCTCTGGTCTCTTTTAAAATGACAGAGGGACTCAGTGCCTCAGAGAACGATGTGAGAGGCCAAGTGAGAGGATGAGGTTAACCCCATCCCATTTTGTTGGGCAAATGAAGCAGACCAAGTGGAAAAGTGGAATGCCAATGTGTGTCGGACTCAACAGAACCGCACGGCTGAGTGCACTCAGTCATCTGTTGAGCCAGCTGAGCGCTGAGGGATCTGCTCAGCTGACTGGTGTAAATGTTCTTTCTTTCTCAGGTCGTCCTATTTAGAGTCACAGCGCTCAGAGACATATCCATCTGGTCCGAATTTACATTAGTAGTTAAATTTGACTGCGTAACATTTCCAGTATGAGGAAATACTTCATCTTTATTCTTTTACCGTCATTTGATGATCAAAATATAATTTAGAAATCAGAGAAGTGGCCAATACAAATTCTTGATGATTAATTGAGCCTGCAAAAATGGGCTCTATTTTCCTGAAATAGGTTGCAGATGCAAACGCAAGCAAAATCTATAGTTGCAAACATAAATGGATGTGACCAGTACATTTTTAGCAATTTTGATGACGACATACACAAACCAGGTGCAGCTGGGCGCAACATGGAAGACAGGCTGAAAACATTATTATTAGTGGGAGGAATACAGAATCAGCAGGTGGAGTCATGGCGAGCTTCAGTAATGACCAATCACATAAACTCCTCTCATCCCCTTTAAACACAGCAACAGGTGGAACAGAGGGACAGAGGATGAACCATAGTTGTGCAAACAATGAATACAGCCTAATTAATAAAACATTTCAACTCTGCTCCTCCTCTGCACGAGGAGCCTCATTCATGTTTTTTAAACTTAAATCTATTTGCAAAATATCTGTCCTTATTTATACAACGGGAAAAAAATTCTAGTTAGTGTGCATAAGGTTAGTTATTGCTGGTGTCTCATCAAACGATTTAAATAATTAATGAAGGTGTCCATGCCGTGCCAGCTGTGTGTAGAGGAGTAAGCAGGATTTCAGAGAAGTGTGAATGTGATATTCTGACATGGAGTTGGTTCTGAGCAGAAGGAAAAATAATCCACTGAAAGCTGGAGGCGGTTTCTGCCTCCGCAATCTGCATTCTCAGTGCATTTTTATTTATTTGTATCCTTTATGTATAACCTCTTGCCGTCGTGTGCCCCAACAGTATTCTGCTCCCTGAGCTTTGCCCGGCAGAAGCCCCGAGCCTATATTTAATCACGGGTCAAGTTGGGTCTTATATTAACGGGCCGAGTTCAGCCCGTAATGGACTGAGAGATAACTGCAGGTAACAGATCAGTTCATGTTGAGCTGTGCTGGTGCGTAGAGGGTACAGGACTGCAGACAAAAATAATGACCTAATGTGTGAACTTGTTCAGAAATGTGAGCAAGATGCGTTCACTATCATATTTTATTTGTTCACAGTATATAGGATGGATCAGATTGAGGTGTCCCTGATTACGTGTATATGCTGCCATTAGCATTATCAACAACTGTAAATATTTACAAACCAGTTTGTAAGCGACAAAACAGAAAACTGGAGCTTTACCTTGATACCATCCTGCCATAGATGCTCTCGCTGGAGCCGCTCTGCTTCACTGGCTAACCTCTAAATGTTGAAAACAGAGAAACACTCAAATTAGAGGAGTTAGTACGGCGACACGTCAGATTTCTCCAATCACGGGTGGAACAACACTGAAACATCGGGAATTCTATCAATCAAATACTTTTTTGTTAATCAATAAATGTATGAATTTAGTACTACATTATCATTGTATGGAATTATATTAAATCTAAACTTAATTAATTAGCAAGAAGCTTCTTGACTCTATTACTCTAAAACTGCACAACATAGTTCTGAGCTAGATCATTTCATTTGCAGGGGAAAAAATGATGGTTAAAATCAAAAGAAGAAATAAGTAGTAGATAAAACAGTACAGTCAGTGGGATCAACATTAGTCAGAAACATATACTTACATCAAGTGCTTTGCGCTTCTTAGCCAGGAGTTTCTCTATGTCTGAGGCCACCTTCTCCACAATCTTCCGAGGCTGATTCTTCACAAGACTAAACCGTCGTCTCTCTTCATTGTATATCTGTAAATTTTTAATGGATAAAGTAAAAAATGTAAGAGCAATAACAGCTACACAGTCATTTTATTAACACTGTTTCTGCTGACTTAATGTCAACCTTCGACATATCATCTAAGCTGACTTAACATCAGTCTGTGTTACCATTAGTGCAATTGATTGAATCTGTGTGGTGTAATTTGAAAAATTATAATTTTTAACTCTGTATTTTGACTAGACTAAAGAATTAAAGATTTAAAGAACAGGTGCTGGGAAGTTTGAATCTCAACATCTTAGAGCAACATCACAAACAGACAGAACCATATAATTTAAAGCTCATGAATTTGCAAAATCCTTTTCTATGTAAATTCTGAGGACACGGGGGAAAAAGTCAATTGCTGTGTTGTCTGTTCAAACCAAATCTAAATATGGATCCTTTCATGCAATCTTCTCATCTTCTCACACACAGTGTCTGCTGTCTTTGAAAGATGTTTCCACTGAAGAACATAACTGGAATTTCATACCAAAATGACAAAGACACTGTCTACTTAATCTTTTATATACAATGGGAGGATGGTTCTTGGAAGAACACTTAAGGAAATTCCTCTTGAAAACAAATAATGCAACATTCAGATAAAACATTAGCAATGTTTATGCAGAGCCAAATATTACGGTTATAATTGGTTTCAAAGCCAAAACAGAATTTAAAAAATGTTCCATATAAACCCCTCAGAATGAACATGCCCGAAACGAAATCTCAATCGGTTGCAGAGGGGCAGTTTAAAGGTATCCATGAACTAAACTAAACAAAAACTGAACCATGTAAACAGTGAACCTGATTATTTTATGGCTGATTACTTTCTGCACGTGCCCTCCGGCTTGAAGCTAATGTGTGGGAAGGCACGTTGAACTAAAGCTGAACTGGACCTTTGCAGAGAGTTTGTTTTTGATACAAACTCTTGAGGAACTGAACATTACTGGACGCTTAGACAGTAGGAAAACAAGAAATAACATTCAAACAAGGCCTTTAAAAAAGGAATTAAGCTGGAATACTATGACGTTGAACGCCACGTTGAAGACCGCCTAACACATGGCTAAATCCCAAATCAACAAAAGTGGATCAGACCCACCACCTTAGTTTATGACAAATTCATCACTTTGCTCATGTCACTGTTCTGATTAAATCCTGAATTCTTCAAGTAGAAAAAAAACAAAAAACCTAAATGAGGTCACAGGTCACAGCCTCTTAATTTGGCCAGACTGACAGTCTCATTAGGATAGCGTAGGTTGTTTAGAGGTTGTTTTGAACTTGATCTTGTTCTTGATCTTGTTCTCCTCAGCTGAGCCTCAATAAATTCTGCCGTGGAAGTCATCAAGACCTCCTGAACTCTTCATCGAGTACGAGTGGTTCTTCACAGTTTTTCCATCACTGCACCTTTCTAGTCTTCTGACCACTCGAGGTACTTCACACTCCATGCCACATTCATACACTGACGGAAAAGGCCTCCACAAACAGAAACTAATTCATTCACACACCGATGCACAGCATTGGGAGAAAATTGGAGTTCAGTATCTTCCAAAGGACACTTCAACATGCAGTGGGGAGCGAAGATTGGTGGACAATCCACTCTACCTCCTGAGCCACAGCCGCCCCTAAACCCATGTGTGTGTATCAGTAAGCCCTTACAAATAATGTCTTCCGGTGGTGACAAATATTTCAGAAATAAGTGGGAATTTATAGCCTATTTAAGCCAGAAGACTAGATCTATTTTAATGTACAGCAACTGAGTCACAGACTACTGTGTGAGGCTCTCTGTGAAAAGGTGAAATAACTGTTTGCCCTTTTCATTATATTCTGACCCCGGTCTAAAGCTCACTGCAAACTGAACAAACCAGATTCACCCAGATGCCTGTCTCCAGAGGACCTGAAGTTAAATTAGACCACACATGAAACACGTCAGTTACATTCAGAGAATCTGAAATGTGGCCTTTCAACATCCTTACAAAGTATTCCTTAAGATTTCATACACCAGAGACCTTTGTGGGTCATTAGGAGACATCTGGGAAAGATACTAGAGTGAGGACACATTTGAACTGCATCTGAGTGACTATTTAGTTTCAAACTAATTTCTACTTTAAAACTTAACTTTTAAAAACAAACAACAAGCTGCATAAAATGTTTTTACAGTTGTACTCACAATTAAATAAATACTGGAAGACAAAGATTTAATTGAGTAGATGCACTGACATGTGGAATCAGACACTGTTTTTAATAGATGGTTCACTTTTACTTTTCTCATCACCATTTAATGAGACTTTCACTACATCATTACACCATTTTAATTAAACTTAGCACAAAAAGTAAGGAAATTTGTGTTTGGCTGATTATTTCTCTGTGGTAACAATGCTTTTTGGCAATAAATCTTATACCGTTGGAAAGCCTGTAAGGAACATGCACTTGTGGGATGAGCAGTAGAGCTGAGTATGTGGGTTGCGCCCATGAAAAATTTGCCAAATCTTCTCTGCCAATGCCAAACAGCTTATTCTGCCATTGACTGGTTTGGTGTTTGGTGGATTGGATGATTGAAGTTTGAAGAAACAAGACATATTGGCAATTTAACAAGTTATTCATTTCACTAACAGGAGCCTCAGTAGCGTGTGGAAGAACCATACACAGCCACAACAGCCTGGCATCTCCTCCTCATGCTGGTCACCAGCCTGGTCACACACTGCTGTGGGATGGCATCCCATTCTTCAACCAGCATTTGTCGCAAGTCAGCCAACGTGGTTGTGTTGGTCACTCTGGCACGAACAGCACGCCCAAGCTGATCCCACAAGTGTTCAATGGGGTTGAGGTCAGGACTGCTGGCAGGCCATTCCATCCTCTCCACTCCCACATTCTGGAGGTAGTCTCTGATAAACCCCGCCCTGTGGGGGCGAGCGTTGTAATCTTCGAGGATAGAGTTCGGTCCCAGACTGTAGAGATATGGGATTGCCACTGGTTGCAGAATCTCATCTCTATATCTCTCTGCATTGAGATTGCCTCCAATGATGACAAGCCTCGATTTTCCAGTGAGGGAGATGCCGCCCCACACCATCACACTGCCTCCACCAAAAGATGTTATTCTGTCATTCTATAGTGCAATCAGCATAGTGTTTTCCACGTCTTCTCCACACTCTGACCCTGCGATCCAACTGCCGTAGGCAGAATCTGGACCCATCACTGAACATAACGTTCCTCCACATGTTCAGGTTCCAGTGCACGTGTTGCCAACACCAGCGCTAACGGGCCTGACGGTGAAGGGCAGTAATGGCAGGACTCCTGGCAGCCCTATGAGACCGGAGATTGGCTGCGTGTAGTCTGTTCCGGATTGTCTGGGCAGAGAGTTGTCGGCCCTATCGTCCTGCAAACCTTGAATGCAAATCTGTAGAAGACAGCCTACAGCACCTAAGTGCTGACAGGGTGGGGAAATGGTCTTCTTGGGGTGTCGTCTTCTTGGGATGCCCACTTCGCGGCCTGTCTTTGACATCCCCCGTTATATGGAACTTGGCCTTCCATTTGGAGATGGTACTAGGGCTCACTCCAAATAATGCCACAACGGTTTTGCGGAACCCCAGCTTGAAATTGCCCTATCGCAGGGGCCCTATCCAGATCAGTCAAAGTGCCAATCAGGCATCTGACTGGCAGCACCTGGGGGTACCAGAAGCTCAAAACAAGTGACAATAGCAACAGCAAAATAACCTGTGCGCTGCTGCTCATCCCACAAATGCATGTTCCTTACAAATGGGGCACCATTTGAAAGCGAACTAAACAGGCTTTCCAGCGGTATAATATTTATTGCCAAAAAGCATTGTTACCACAGAGAAATAATCTACCAAACACAAGTGTCCTTACCTTTTGTGCTAAATTTATATTACTGTATATTAAGTTTGTTTAATCTCTGCTCTATGTGATTTATAAGATTAGCTGACAGAGGCCCACATTCAAGACCTCTCCAAAAAGAATATATAAATTTTTTTATATTCTTTGTTTTGCCTGCAGTATCTAACTACACAAACAGTGTCTTCTGCAGTACATTATTACACACAGAAACCATGATGACTGGGAGTTCAAGAGGTTCATAATTATCAGATATTCTGGGGACAAGACAGTGACAGTGTCTTGCTACGAGCTGCTGCTTGGTGGGTTTTAGGCCACCGCACTCTCTACCTCCCGAGGAAAGATGTCAGACAGGAAGATGAAAACAAGACAGCCAGTGACCTGGATGAATACATTTGGGAAACCTGCATACATACTGTATGACAGCCCTCTCCCTATAAATGGACTTCATGAAATGAACTTCAAGACATCCCTCAAGTTTTGTACTGACCAGATGCTTCATTGGCCCACACTGTACAGATGGGAACATGCAGTAATGAACAGGGTGTTTCTGTGTGCTGTCGGAGAAGAACTAGGTCCTGTGTAGAATATATTCAGAATCAAGATGTACCACTGTTGCTGGTTCAGTGTGTAAGACTTATGGGAATCTAGCAGTGAAGTTTTAGATTAACATGTTAGATTGCAATTACATTTTGTACAAACATTATGGTTACCAGAGGTTAAACTTACTGACTGCTGTGATCCCCTGACGTTTCCTCTAACTCTACCATGTGGTTGATATTTGTGGTTTTGACTAAAATGTCAAGAAATTCGGTACAGATATGCATGTCCTCCTAAACTCCAATCACTTTGGAGGATTCTCTTACTTTTCATCTAGGGCCACCATCAGGTCACAATTTCTATTTTGTCATGATACTGCAAAAACAAATTAAATTCCCATCAGCCTCAGCTGTACTTTGTCTTAGTGCTTAGCAACTATTAGCAACAGACTGAACATGGACGTGGTAAAGATTAGGCTATACCGGCTTAACATCAGTATGTTAGCATTGTCACTGTGTTCACTTTAGCATGCTAATGTAAGCATTGATCCTAAAACAGCACTATGGCCGAGTACAGCCTTACAGAGATGCTAGCATGTCAAATTCAGGGGCGCTTTGAAGACAGACTACAGATTTTTCTCATCCTTTACATAATTACATGTTAGCTTTTCTTCGGGATTTCATCAAAAAACAGTCCAACCAAAGTACAGGAAAACAGTTTTAGTCCTAAAAAAAACCCTCATGAATAACAAGGCTATATCAAAATGTTATATATTTTTATTGGTTGAAGAATTGAAAATGATTTAAATTATGTGTTTCCTTGACAAGAGAAGACTGCAATGAGCTTTACAAGCAGAGTATAACAATTTCTTTAACAGATCCAGAGTGTTTCAGGAACATGGAGGGATTAATGAGGATTGAATGAAGGAGTGAGTCTCACATCAAGGCATTACTGAAGGCTGCAGGCTGACCATCTGCTCTGCTGTGACACAAACAGTGAGGACACGTGCCGATGCTCTCTGCTGAGGGAACGCCCCCGCACATCTTCACAGAGCAGGGCTCTCTTGCCCCCTACAGATGATCTTTGGTCCTGTTTTTGGCATTGACCTTTTCAGGGACAACCCCTTATTCCTAGACACCTGTTACAGCGAGGGTGTCTAATAGCCTTGATATCTTATTGGACCCAACAGGTAAATGGTGAAACCAGATCGCTATGAGTAATCAGGACATTTGCATGCAGTGTGATAGATCGTCAGTGCATTAGATACGTTTTAAATGTTGTCTGTGTAGTTCAGTTCTGATATAGCTTATTGCTTATTGCCATAGACCTCCATTGTTCTAGTGTTGTCCATAACCTATTAAAAACACATTACTGTCGTGGTGGCGCTTACAGAACGACAGGCAGCAACACTGATAGAGCAGAGGGAGAGCTGGGAAATTTTTGCAGCTTAAATAGACCGCCAGATTGGAAGGGTGTGCTTGGTTTGTGATTAGGGAGTGAGGCATGTCATGTGTGTATAACAGCGCAGCTTGAGTTGACTGCCTGATTCTAGCTCGCAGGCATCGCTCCATTTTTGTTCTTTTGTTCTTTTGTTCAGGAGATTTGTTGACAATGAGAAAAATATAGAATATCCCCAACTGTATCCTTTAAAAATGTCAACACAGACATCTTCTAACAAAGTCCTTGTTGCTCTGGATAATCCACAGACCTCATTGGCAACAGTTTTCACTGGAGCCACTTTTTACAAAATACATCAAAAAACAATTCTAAATCCATACAATTTATGCTTTATAAGGAAATCAGGTTTCTCATTTACAGGATATGACAGTTTAGAAATCAAGTTACTGCAGAGAGCCTGGAATCAGATTACCTTAATGCATGTAATGTAAAATGCATTAAAATGCATCTCATTGAGAACTTGATGAAACTGCACAAATACTAAAGTAATGAAACAGTTCTTGAAAGTGAATTGCTCCACTGGCAAAAAAAACACAGGCATTACATGATGAGCTTATGAAAGCTTGGAATTAGTATTCATGAATGTAGGTGTTATTAAGCTCATGACTTCATGAAACATAATACTAGATATTCTAAATCTAACCACTGTGGGTGTCTGTTTAAGCATTTCTTTTGCTTGGTAGGAATCGTACTATGTGTGCAAGATTGATAATTATTGCAAACAATACACAAAGTGCCAGCAAAAGTTGGCTACGTTCGGCATACATTCGGGAAACAGATGAACATAAAAGCTATTACAGAGAGTTTTATATCTGTCCAGGGAAAAACAAAAACATTGTGTAACTGGCTGCATTGCATTGTAAGATGTCCCAGAAAATCACAAAAAAAAAAAACAAAGAGGTTTCAGAAAGGCAGATTGTAATTGTTTATTATTTTATGCACCTACTTAGCTTAATGGATTTATACCTTTTTTGCACACTGACCTCTCTGCTCGGTTTTTTATGCAGCACTTTGATAAGTACAACCTGTATACTATAAAAAGAGAGCTACACACTCACCCCTTTCAACTGCTGAGCTCCAGTGATGTGCTGAAAGACTCTGTCAATCTCCTGCTCGATACGCCTGGCCCAGTGCATTATCCTGTGGATAGACATCACAGGCTGTCACACAACACAAACAAATGAAAAAGATATGTGTGTGTGCGAGTGTGCGTGTTTGTATTTCAAAGACGCAAGCAGCGATGTTGCAACAATAACAATATCTATTGCCTGCACATGGATTACAACACAAATTGTGAAAACATTAATTTAAGAATATTTTCAAAAAGACATTACTCTGAAAATTAGAGGATTACTTCTTTTGGCTCTTATTTAAATACATAAATATTGTTTCAATATGTACTGAATGTATAAGAAATGTGCTTCCACACTGTAAACAATATATATATTTTTTTTTTTCTGAGAATTTCACACCACTGGAAAACAACTCAGATGTGTGCACCTCTCTGATTCCCTATCATCAACATCTTTTCAAGAGAAATATTTCCTCTGACTTATTACCACTGATTACACTTATTCAGCATGTTCTCATTTTACACAACTTTCACTGAATGACATATGGAATAGAAAAGAAGACAACAGTTGCATCCTTCGCTGCTGAGGTTGAGAGTAAGCCATGAAATATGAGTAACGCCACCTAATCAGCTTTGTTGACTCATCATCCTAATTCCGTGAAAGAATATTTCCAAAGAAAATAAAAACATACAATTTGCTACATGATTATTTTATAAGTATGTAAATAGCTTTAAAAACCTGCTGTGACAACGAGGTGGCCCTGATGCAATTGGAATTTCTTGTGGTGCCCCGAAAATAGAGAAACTAATGAGCCAGGGTAAACAAAACCTCCGCTGTTGTGGGTGTTAAGAGTAACAAATAACAGGAAATTCAGTGAAGGAGAGGTATACATGTGGCTCTAGATGTGAGTTATTCAACAAATCCAAGGGCACTACAAATTAATGCTGAAAATGTTTAGTATTAAAACAGTTAAATCAATACTTCTCTCTCATTGTCAAGGTTGTGTTCTGTTTTTGTTGAACCACAGAACGATTCAGTCCATCTTATCCAATAATGTGTGTGTTATCAATTCTGAACCAGAAGATGTGGTTTAAATCGGCTCACAACTTGCTTTTACGTTTTTCAAGTATAATTAGGAGCAGTTACAGAGAGACATTAGCATCGTGTAGTGGTAGCAGTAGTAGTCGTATTTTGTTCATCTACCTGGTGAATGTAAATCTAATATTCACTCTTATAGCTCTGTTTTTGGTCTCTACCAACTCCTGAGGGAAATATCTGACTCTTTCGCTGCTAGATTCCCTGTCTGTATGGCGTTTGATGCTGGGCAGGTAGTGTACAGTGGGTTTTTAGGGCAGTCGAAAACAACATGAGAGCAGTGAGAGTGAACAGTAAGGTTGTGGGCTGGCGAGCTAAAACTCACTATAAATCTCAGTAAAGCCAAAGCTGCTGATTCAGGTGATAATTCTCTGTAGGTTCATCGCTACGAGCGACCCATTTCACATTCATCATTTAATGCATTGCTATTATAAAAATAACATAGCCATGTATTATTTTTTAACCTAGAACCACACATATCACAGAAATGCTGCTGTACTGAGCTTTCAATGAGCGATGTGTGTGAATAGACACAAACTCAAGGTCATTGTATTTTTTGTTCATGTCAGAGAAATACTTGCATAATATTTAGACTGTCCTAGATAATGAACATAAAACACATGATTAAATTCTGTTTTCATTCAAGCAAAAAAAAAAAAAAAACCTAGCTACAGTGGACTGCATACAAGATACTAATCCTATACTAACAGGAAATCACTGTAATTTCCAATAAATAAAATGTCCCAACAATATTACTGTGTAAAAATTAAAGCAGACAACAAAATGAACAGAGTTTAATTTGTTAGTCTCCACATTCAGGTAGTGAAACAGTTAAGTGGAGATGCATCAAAATCAGAGACATCGACAACTACTACTACTGCACCCGATGATGGATGACTGCCAGCACCAATACAGTTGTTTTTAATAAAGTAATGTTAAAAATAGAATGTTTTTTGGGTACCTATTTAATGATCCATCTAACAGAATCAGCACTCCTACCAATAGCTCATGTTAAATGTCAACTCCAACACAGAAATCTCACCCACCATCGACTGCACACCAGAACCACCAACCAACAGCTCTGCATAAGCACATGTGGTTCCAGCAGCTAATTTCCTCCCCGCCCACACAGACATCATGGGTGTTCAAGTAGCTTTAACAAGGAACCGAGGAAGCACAAACAATAAAAGGGCAAGATGAAGAAAAATAATTGCTTTGGAATACTTTTATATTCAGACCTGCAGAGGAACACGTCCAGAAAATAAAACTCTGCTTTTTTTAATGCATATGGACTTTCCTTCAGAAACGCAAGCTTCTTCTCCTTCCTCCATGATCAGTTTCATTATTTTTAAAACATAAAACAGAGAAACATCAAGCGCAAAGACGACATATAACAAACTAAATCTGTCAGGGTAAAAAATGTGAGGAAAACTGAAATTTGCAGTGGAAGACTGCAGATATTATTCTACCCAGACAATTTAATTCACTGTCAGAAAACAGTTGAGAGACTTGCTGCTACTGATTAACAAGCTTTCAGGATTTACTTCACTTTGCCAGAGACCAGTGCCTCAGGTGATGGCTCTCTCTCTAAATGACCACTGGTTAAACACAAGCTGAGATGGCAATGGGACAAACAATAGACAGGAGGGTTGTATTGAGGCTCTTTAGAATATGGTCCATCTCATAGAAGCAACAGGAAAATTACATTGTGTAAATGTAAAATGTGTTTCTCTGCACTGAGTTATATTTGCAGGTAAAAGATTATAGTTGTTTTATGTTTCCTGTAAGGCATCGGATGATATTAGAAGATATATGGCATTTTCAAATTATTTCACTCCTTTCTTTCATGTTCACGTCTTAAAAGTCAAGTGTGAAGGATTTAATGGCATCTAGCGGTGAAGCTGCAGATTGCAACTAACTGAATACTGTTCGTGTCTGTATTTGACAACCTGGGAATGAGAACGAGCTGTGAAGGGTGTAGGAGAAACTATGGTGGCCATGAAACTTTAGTTTGTCCATCTGAGCTACTGTAGATATAATGCGGACTCCATGAAAGGCGACCCGTGGCGCCTGTAGATAAAAACGTCTCATTCTGAGGTAACAAAAACACAATTCCAGGTGATAATACACTATTGAAAACATACCTATGAATATTATGTTACATTAGTCTCAATAGATACTCCTAAATGTTACACACTGGATCTTTAAAAGGCCTTTTAGTGTTGCACCCCTGTGGGGTATACGGATCAAAATTGAAGCAGCAGAGGTCCTAATATTCTTAAAAAACACTGGATCATTCATTTCCCATAGTCTGTAATGTCTTTCATTATATCCTCTGTCTGTCTGGTAAACGCTCACATATTTTAACCTTGACAGCCACAAGTGTGTAAGGCAGGCTTTCTGTTTAGAATTTAAAAGACAGAAGCCTGAATCTCTGTGGAAAGCTTCCGCCAGAGCCAGAGAAGACATTATACAACTGTTTTCAGAGTGTCCCTTCAAAGAAAATGTCTATAAGGCGAAAGTATAGCAGCTATCTTGTAAGGCAATTGCACCTGCAGTCTTTGGGCGGAGTGCAGTGCTGTCTAACACAAGAGGCAATCTACTTTTTGCAGACCATATAACCACTAACATGTAAGCCAACCAATCGCAAAAAGTGGGGTTTCAGCTGAGAATCACTGTGTAACATCAATGTTTAGACCTCACTAGTTAAACCAAACATTTTTAAAATATCTTTCAACATCTGTGTGTATTATTTTTGATGAATTTATATCATTAAAACAAAAACAGTGGAGGTCAGATGAACAGTATCAATCATCTTCACTGAACTGATAATTTGATTCTTTCGTTCTAATGAAACTTAAACTTTAATGGCCACAAGACTCGTCAGTAGGATTTGTTTTTAGTGCAGCATGGGAGAAAAAAAAACACAGTACACAGTGTCAGCAACACAACACAGTATGTGCTCTGTATGTCTTCTTCCAAAATGTGTTCTCAGTGATAAACAGCATAATCTCATCCCAAACTGCAATGTCAAAGCAGCACACACAATCCTACACAGCCTCATAACAAAAGCAGCATCCTGCAGTAAAAGAACTAGTGTCTTTCATATTCAGTGCATCAATGCCATGTTGAATCGCATGATATTAGTCACAGCGAAAAGAATCGTTTAATATGAAAAATATGCTTTAAGAGACTAAAGACTGTAGTAAATGTATAGTATTCATGTTATTGACTCTCTACATGCACAGGCTTTGCCATCTTATCCTCAAGAAACCCAGAGGTTCACTGAATGAAATCAGCCTCAATAAAGATTCACATCTCCCTTTATTCACCTGCTCACTTCATTGGTTCAACCTTCATTCACTTGCTGATCATGTCATCCCACTCTTCAGCCTGGCCCAATGGATTAGAGAAGAGTTTGTGCAGGCGAAACATTTATTTGAGCTTTCTACCTAAATTAGTTTGAACCAGGAAATAAATCTTAATACCCAGAAAATCGCCCTGGATCCTGTAAGTGCCCAGAGAGTCGATTCATTATCACTGAGACAGCTCTCAGCAGAGTTATGAGACAACATCACAGATTAAAGCCTTGTTGGGCTTGTTTCTAGTGTTGGACGAGCCACAAATCTCTACTCAACTGTCCAGATCCACAGAGAGACACTTTTCACAATGAGGACGCTTTATTTGAATACAATTTCTTTCTCACACATTTTGATTTTATTATGAGCCTCAGTACAGTGCTATAGGCTTTTTACACTTCTGATAGAAATGTTCCTCCGGTTTGGAGAAAACTGCCAAGTAAAGGGAACGGTGTGGAAAAGTAAGATGTAAGCTATTTGGTTTTTTTTTGTTTTTTTAAATCCAGCAGCATCAAGACTATCACTTTAAAGGCCCATTTAGAACATGATTGAATGCCTAACAAAGTGTCCTTGACAAGCACAGCACTATTTAAAAGTTAAATTATTTCCAGCTCGAGGCAGTCGAGGCAGCGGCAGAATAAAGTGAGGAATGCTCCGAAAAAAAAGAGCAGCAGTTATTGACAACTGTGAAGGTAGTAACAAAAACAGCAAAACATGCATATTTTTGATAAACCCTTTTAAAAACACATTCTGGTTGTCATTAGCCTTAATTTTCTACCAATTTGTCACAGGTCAATGTGTTAATGTGATTACTGCAGCCCTGAAACTGAGACCACCATGGCTGATCAAATAATAATTACTATATCATATTATTATTCTAACTGAGCTGGTCTTCCTTCTATCCCAGATATTTTTATGTATATATACTGTATATACAACTAGTGCTCATAAAACAGAAACATAAAAGTGCACAAGTTCACCGACCGGAATAAAAATCGAAAAGTCAAATCGATGGTTATGATCCTTTACAGATGTATGATGCTCTTGCTTCTTTAAAGCCCCTTTATACCATCCGATAACGGCGTTCTTGCAGGTTCACTGCATGTCACGCTGTACGAGATGGTTCTCATAAAATATTTGTGAGAATCTCTTTCAGACTGTATGATACCAATTTTGAGGCATGTCAAATGCAATTACAGCCTGGTGAATTTTTAAAACTGTAGCAATGTGTGCATGCAAGCAGAGTCACGTCATTTCTCTGCACTACTCTCATGTTTTTAAAATACAGAAAAAGTATTCTTTTTTTAACTTAACACATAAATAGTGTTTATATGGTTTTTATAATATTTTCATTTTATGGTATATTCAGATTTTTTGGTTTGTAGATGTGGTTTAGAGCAGCACTCATAATTTTGATACAACTGGACTTTAGTCGGTCGGACTTGTGATCTAGCAACTGATACGACCAACGTTTTAGATTGACGAGTAAAGATTTGACCATGTTTCACTCATAACTGTCAACTTTAGCGTGGGATAGCCGAAAATCGCACAGTGTATATGAGCGTTGTCGGTCCAACTAGCCCACTGTAATGAATCTCTATAAAGAATCTTAAGCCATCAAATTCCAAGGTCACCTCTAATCCTTGAAATAGGTCAAACAGGATGTTTAACATGAACATGCAATAATTACATTAGTATGCACTATAATTTCCAATTAATTGAAGTGAAATGATAATATGAATCGAAAATCACTCAACATATTTAAATAACTCAACAATCAACAAGCTTGTTGCATCACAAATTAATTAAAAATGCTCTTATAAAGCTTTGTATAAATCATGTGAATGTGAATAAATCAGGTTTGTATATAACTGTAACTCACAGAACTGCAGACCAGCTTCGACTGTGTGAGTCAGTGCAGCTGAAGCACAATCTAAGTTTCTAACTGTGCTCCATTTCGTCTCCTCTCAAGCCTTGTGGGATGTCAGAAAACTCTGTATCTCAATGCTGCGATAAAGCGGCTGAACAGCGCAGCGCACTTGTGCCTCTTCTCTGTTACCTGCTATAGTCACAGACCCCTGGGACGAGAGGGAGAGAAGCATATGTGATGTGACCCATATTCACTTACAGCAGAGAGAGCGAGAGGTTGAGAGGGTGGAGCAGCAGAGCGATAGGTGGAGTATAAGAATGAGATAGAGGAGACGTTTACATCTATCTATCTATCTGTCTGTCTGTCTGTCTGTCTGTCTGTCTGTCTGTCTGTCTATCTAGAACCATAGACTCCTAAAGATTATGTTCATATACAACTAAATGTGCTTTGTATTAAACAAATGCTGTCAGAATTAAATTTTTAACCATCCACACATGGTTGTAGGGATGGCAATGTCAGTCGCAAACACTTTAGTCCAAGCTGAAATATCTCAACGTCTATTGGATGGATTGTCATTACATTTTGTACAGACATTCATGCCACCCAGAGGATGAATCCTACTGACTTTGGTGATCATCGGACTTTTCCTCCATCGCTACCATGAGGTTCACATTTGGGGTTTTAAGTGAGATGTCTCAAAAACTGTTAGATGGATTGTTATGAATTTGGTACAGACATTACTGTTATTATCTGTTAACTGTCCTTTGTTTAAAGCACTGACAGACCTACAGTGGTCGAAACATTTTAAAGGACCAGTGTGTAGGATTTAATGGCATCTAGCAGAGTAGTTGCAGACTGCAGCTCCTTCACTTCACCAATTTTCTTTGTTTCTTTCTGTTGTTGTTTCTTAGAGATCAGGGGGTGGGGATGGGGGGTTGCCATGGGGATAAGGGAGGGCAGTGGAAAGGAATATGATGGCAATCTGAACACTGTTTTCAACACACAGACCATGTATGATGAAACTGCCACTGCAGGGTATAGCTCTGTGGATGTTTGATGTAATACAACCTGAACTTATAAAATAAAAAAATATATATCAATTGTTTGAGTTGTTTGTTGTGTTTATATTGTTGTCAAAAGGAATGTATTTTACTGCAAATCAAATCTACCTATGGATACAAATAAAGTAATCTTGAACATTGAACATGTCGTTTTGTTAGAATAAATCCTGCCACATTTTCCCCTCATGGGCTCCGAGTTTGAGAACCACTGGAGTAAGTAATAAAATAAATAAAAAATAATAATAAAAACAAAATGGATTAATAGATTAATCGCTAATGAAAATGATATTTAGCTGCAGCCCAAGAACTGTGATCTCTCCCTTAACCAAGTATTTTGGTAGCCTAAAATCTAAAAACATGAGGAAAGCAGGATGATGCAAACTCCAGCCCCCAGTGTCAGAGTCCTCTGTGAAGTAAAGGAGCTTCACACTTCCTGGATAGGAATAAAACACTGCCAGTGACTGTAATCCAAATTAGTAGCATATAAACATGTTGTGTGGATATCTCTATCTATCTATCTATCTATCTATCTATCTATCTATCTATCTATCTATCTATCTATCTGCAGAGACAGAAATCTGGAGTCAGACAGAAGGGGCGGGAGTGAAAAGGGCGAAGGGGAATAAATCCTCACTGCTGCAGTATTAATTCTTAATTGGAATGAGATGCTGTTCTTCAGCGTAGCGATTCTGCTTCATTTAGCTTACATGAGGAGACCCAGGGCAAGGGGCTGTGTAGCTGTTTCAGAGCACTCAGCAGAAAAATAAGTGGAAAGAAGGAGGAGGAGGAGGAAGAGGAGGAGGAGAAAGCAGCAGCTATACCCTACTTGAAATAACCCAATTCATCATAAAACACACACACACACACACACACACACACACACACACACACACACACACACACACACACACACACCCTCCCTGATTTATAGACTGTTTCCTAATTGGTAAATACACCTCGGCTCTGCAGTTGTGATTGGCCAGAACGCTCTCACTGTGTGCCCCGAAGATGAGTGGACCATCTGGCCTGTTCCTCCCTCCAGAGCAGCCTGATTGCAGAGCCTGGAGGTGGGCCCAGATAACTGTAGTCTTAAGTTAAGTGCCAGCTGTACTTAACAGTAACGGGTTAAAGGGTTAGGAATTAAGAACTAAGCACAGAATTGATTTAAATACAGAGAAAATGTTCATTATAATGCCGCCTTCAGAAGGGAGTCACAATAAACCACACCTTTCTTCATCTATGCAACCCAGCACACCTTCTAGTACCAGAAGCTATGTTGATTTTCTCAAGAGGTTGCAAGAGAAGCGAGTGTTTCATCGAATAAAGAAATGTTTTGCTCTTTACTTGAAAGCCTGCATGAAAAAATCTAGTACTGGCGCACAGGAACAGCAGGAGGAACACTGACAAGAAAAAAAAAAAGAAAAAGCCCTTTTCAGTTTACAAGAGCTGCACAGACTTACTGTTGCCTCTGACTGCTTTCACTAATAAAAGCCATGACCAGCCTCACCTATAACTTCACTGGCTTTACTTTAAAGTGTGGAAAAAAATTAAAAAACACTCTCCATCCTTGACATTATTTTTTAGGTCTCCCAGATATAAAAGAAGAACCATCAGAGTAATAATCTGAGATCTGATTAGATGGATCTTTATATAGCTTTCACTGTTCAGATAAGTACAAAATAAAGGCTAGAACTCATCATTTGGTACTGAACAGGCTCTTTATTGGCCATTTTATATTACATAAAGGCCAACTTGATAAGGAAGAAAACATATGGGATCTGCGAAATGTTGTTGTTCATATATATATATATATATTTATATATATATATAAATATAAATATCCCTTTTAAAGATGTGAATAGCTGTCCTATGTATGCCCAGTCATACTGTGGACTACACCTTACACAGCAATGAGCTTTGAACACCCAGCGTTTACATTGATGCAAACGCCAACACTGACACCAATTACATAACAGCAGCAAATAAAACAGGATGACTGAAGTATCTCTTGACACCACAGCTGAGTGGACAAAGCCCCAAAGTTGCCTCCCATCAGAGCCCCGCTGTGTTTTCAATCAGGGTGCCCGTCACTTACGTGTATTGCTGGGGGAACGTGAGACCCGCCGCTCCAGGCCACGATGCGCTGAAAATCAAGATAATCTGGATAGATACCAAGCAGACGATGCTGCAAGACCCTTTGCCTATCGCCATTTTCCATTAACAAGTCTCGTCACGGCGTTTTCGGTGCGTGAATGAAGCTCTCCGGACTGTCTCCGGGGCATACGGCGAGCTGGTGTGAACGTCCGGGCGGTTCAGTTCATGTCGGTCTGTGTTGTCGAGTGGACGCGGAGGAGGCAGGCATTGGCCGTGGAGGCATCGCGGACGGTGGGAGATGCACTAATGCAGCTGCCAAGACACTGCAGAGTCTCTCCTCCTGCTCCCACATACACCACCACCAACACTAACACCACCAACACCAACACACAGGCCGGCGCGTCCACGACGGCTCTTTCTCTCTCTCTCATCAGCAGCCCCGTGGAGCCAGGCGCGTTCACGCTCACCAGGCAACAGAGGAGCAGAAGAAGAATCTAGTTTAGCTTTATTTATCTCTGCAGGGCCACGTGGGATTTGTCATCGGCATAGATTTCCTTTTTTTTTTTTTTCATATATAAGACTGACCCTAACCCTGCGTTTACTGTGTGGGGCAGGGGGTGTGCAGGGATGCAACAGTTAAAAAGCACTAAATGGTCCCTGAATGCAAAAACATAAAGAAACACTAAAAACATCCTCTTACCTGCAAATTATAAATGATATATAGTTTAAAATACACACTGTGCGTATATCATCCATACCATAACTGCCAATTATAAATCCTACACACTGTATATAGGCATTTACTGTAGGTAATCTAGTACTGTACCCATCAAATAGGCCTATTTGTTTCTTTGCTCTATTGGTAGTGTTTATAATTTACAGAACACTTGATTTGCATATAGACATTGTTGATGGTCACTGTTGCTTATATTTACCATAAAACCTCAATTAGTTGCCGGGGCTTTTATTTGCTTAAATCACTGAACTCAACCTGCCTTTATTTCAAACAAGCCTTTATTTCATTTTACACAAAACTCTTTCTCAGCAAAGATTGGAAATATATTCAAATTGTTTAGTTAAACCAGTATTAATATTACTTATATGTTATCAAATAACATATGAATTACCAATCATTCCTTTGATAATTTGATACTTTAGTGCTCATGGTTTCTGTAAAATGAACTGAGTGATTGAATTGTGGACAATCTAAGTGATCTAACCATGTGAAGCCACACTGACAAAAGTTTAAACATTTATATTTGTGTAGGCGGTCTAGGCAGCTTAGAACTCGCTCGAATGGGCGACCCATGGGCTTCAAGAGGTTTTATACATCCAAAGATTTTCTATAAAATCCAGACCAGGTGTTTTATATTGAGACCTGCCTTTATTTGTCAAGACGTGTAGCTATTCCAGGATATTAAAGGAGACCTGCTTGTAATTGGGACCCTGCTTTTACAGTAATTTAAGTTTTACAATATATATACACAAATACAGTACAGGTACTTTTCACCTACAATAATTTACATTATAGTTAAATGTTTAGGTTTACCTATCTTTGTCCTTGTTTTTATCTGGATGCTTATTTTTATTTAAGTGATTCAATCACTTTAACAGATTCATATTTTAAATAATCATATGATACATTTATAAAATACAACACATTGTTAAACTTCAAACTACAAACCTTTTTGGTTTGTGACCTTTTATAAAAAATAAAAAAGCTAGTGTGGGCACCCTGATGATTTAGATGAGCATGGATGGGTTTCTGAAGGGCCTGAGGCCAGAGCCTCTGTTTTAGTGAAAAGTCGGTATGAGTTCCTTAATATATATTTGTACTCTTTATCCTGATCAGTTTCTTGCTTTTGAGTATCTGCCAACCAAATCCAGTCCAATATTGTTTATTATTTCCTTCATATTACAGTAAAATTAGTGAAGCAATTTCAATCAGTTTGATAGCAGCTCTGGTTTAAGAGACTGCATCTCAGGCTTTCTTTGATAGTTTTAATATTTTGTCAGGTGTGCTGTATTTTGTTTAATATCCATGCAGAGGAGTGTCAGTAAGAAGCTTTGGACGGGAGCCAGATAGCCTTTCATCATCTCCAGTGTGAAAAAAAAAAGCATTCAGGTTCAACTGAATCAACAGCAGTACTTTTAGAGCCCTGCAGAATGACAGAGAAGCAACACTACTGCAAACAATGCAGCTGTCCATGGATGCAACTGAACGTATGATGGGGTTGTTGAATGCAACAAAAAGGGACAACTGCTTAATTACATACAAGGCAGAGCAAACAACTGCCCTGAGTTTCAGGTTCTTTACGAGTCTATGGAGCTGCAAAATTGACCAAAATGTAGCAACAGCTTACCAGACAAGTCAAAAAATATAACTGAACATATCAATACATAATATTAATAATTAAACAATTACCGTATTATTTAACCCTCTATGGCATGGTGTTGCCCTCAGGCAACAAACCACTATTTTTGCCCACACACCCCCCCTTTAAATTTTAAAAAATAACTAATCAAATTAAAAGCTTGATGATAAGTCTGTGACCAATGAAATTTGAGGTGGGCGTCGGTTTGACCATTTGTCTGTGGCGGGAACAGTCCTTTTTGGAACCATTGCAGGCTTGGACACACTGCTAGCAGAAGGTAAGATAAATTTCACTTTTTAACATGTTTAAATTTGAATAAGTTTGTATAAATAATATCTGTGATGTACATGAATATGTGAAGAAGCATATTTGATTGAGTAAAGACACTTTTTGTCTTTATTTATATAGTAAAATTGTAGTTTTTCCTTCGTTGCCTCAGGGCAACATTGCGCAGTTAGACCACTTTTGTTTGAACAAAAACATTCTCATGGATGGAGATGTGCAGGGATGCATAGTTATCACCATGATCAGTTTTTATACATGTTATGATTGATATATTATCAGGGACCCCCAAGCTCCCAAAAACAAGGGTGAAATATTTTTTTCCTCCTAAAATAAAAAATCATGCCATAGAGGGATAAAGCTTTATACTTTGACTTTACTTTTGGTAAAATAAATGAAAACTCTTATATTTATATTTCATTAGCTCGTTATTTTTCAGCTCTCTTCAATAAATATTATTTATGAATGTGTTCAGTATTGAAGACTTATCTGAGGGCTACATGCAATTGAATGCATTCATCGTTACTGTTATTAATCCTACAATTACATGTCAAAACACCTGCTGTGAAAAATGCCTATTGAAGCTGCTTTGTACTGTCGTCTACTGTGGCCATTACTGGGAACTTAGAGCTACATACACAGTGCAGTAGGTGGGGTGTCAACAAGGGCCCAACAGCAAGTTTCCCCCAGAAGCTTGAATATTAACCCTTAATTAATCCCCCCCCCAACTCCCAGATGAGCATGCAAAGCACTAAATTATGGAAAATTATAGAAAAATGAGGGACTACATAAGTGCATATACATTGCACTTTTCCGTCCAGTGTGGTTCTGGTAGCGTGAACATGATTCAGTTATCCTGCATCTTGCCTTAATAAAGAATGTGATGTGCACACAACTCCCTTTTTGCATTATTGCACATAAATACATAATAGATTGCGTTAAATCATTAAGGGAGATTTAAACATTTAAGGAGATCTAACAGAATAAATAGTAAAGTTAAGTCAGTTTTATTTATATCCCCAGATGAAAAATTTGTCTCAAAGTGATTGAAGAAAAATATTTACATAAACAGATGGCCTAAATAAAAAAACAAAACAGATTTATAATTGGCATTATATAATAAAATATCAAATAGATGAATAACAGTTCACTTCTTCCTTTACGTCACTTTTTTCTCTCCCATTTACCTTTTACTGGGTCTTTTTATTTTCACCATCTCACTAATATTTAGTTCATAAACTATATATATACACACATATTGTGTGTGTGTGTGTGTGTGTGTGTGTGTGTGTGTGTGTGTGTGTGTGTGTGTGTGTGTGTGTGTGTGTGTATAGAGCAAATGCAGGAGTGATGAAAGGCAAACAATAGTTCATGCAGAATCCAGTAGAATATTTAGTACTAGTAAGGCTCTGGTAGATGCACATAATGATCTTCCAGTGAGCATAGAGACAGACATCAAAATGATAACACGTGCTGTATTGGCCAGGCATTTTAGACGTGTTCTTATATAAGCAACAAAAAAAAAAGAGAAATGTTGAATTTGAAATTGGGAGAATAATGATAATGTAGGAAAAACAGAGTTAAGAAATTCAAACAATTTTTCCATCAATTGCTTGGAGATAACTGAAAAATATAAATCTGTCTTGATTATTTTCCAACCCATTTAATTATTAAAAACACTCAACTAATGTATTTTATTATTGACTCATTACACAGCCTAATAGAGTTTGAGGATGGAGCTTCTCTCCCATCTGTCAGCCCTTTACAAACAGTTATGTAATCATGTCGTCTAACATGTAAGACAGGATTTCTCGATGTGGACTGTTTCACATATACATATAAATACTACACTTTGTGAGAACTGCAATCTCTGACAGACTACCATTAATTCCTTGTGGCTATCACAACAGGGTCTGGCTGTAATTACCTCCAGAGGACAGTTGCACCGCAGGAGAGCACAGCAGAGAGTAATGCCATTCAGCTGGAAGATTTACACTATGCATGTTCCTTCATACACTGCAGCATCTGTGAATATAAACAGCTCTCCCCAGAAGCAAGAAACCCAGAGAACTGAGACTCAGCACTGTGACGCTGAAGATGTAAAATAAGCAGCTGATGACAGAAAGCTCCTGGGACAGTGAAATTTTGACTATTTTCTTCTCATTTCACAGCACTGTAAAGTCCTCTTTTTTTCCTCTCCCTGGTTTCTCTCTCACCTTCTCATTTCATCCCTTTAGTACAAGATACAGCGATTACAGGCGCAAGTCAGTCCCCTAGTTGCCATATGTCTTTGAGAGCTGTTTGTTTGTATATTATAAAATTGATGCAGATAAGACCACGGCGGGGTGTACTTGGAGAGACTGCAGGAAGCAGGTTAAATCTCCCCATGTGAGTAAGCTCTCTGCTCAGGTGTCCTTGACCGAGACTTGAAGCCCTACCTCACCTTACCTCAGAACCGCTGTTATTGAATCTGATCCTGACCCTGATCCTTTAGAAATAACATGCATGTAAATGACTTTGGCCTCCAAACAAAAGGCCCTGACTGCAGTTTTACAGTGGAAATGCTTGTGTTGTACCACATTCATTGAAAAGCTTTCCTGAAATAGTGAGACATGGAACTTTTCTTCGAATGAACTGTTTAACAGCACCTGTTTTACCGCAGACAGGAATTCAGATGCTCGACAGCTCACCCGACAGGATGACTACACCTATCCCTGCCCCCTCTGGGAGGAAGGATGTGGGTTCAGCTTTTAGTCGTCTCCCTAATGGCACCATGTGCTAAT